CAGCCCAACCTCACCTCTCCTTGGTGGCATTTCCTACAGCCGCCATTTGACCATTATTGCCTGATTAATCCCTGTCTCCTCCACTAGACCAGAGACTTCTGAGGGCACGGGGGTGATATGCAGGTGTAACCAGGTGACTTATGCTGGACCAGGTATTAACCCTTTTGTTCTGGGATTGTCAGGAGGGAGTAGGGGGTCCCCTGGGGGCAGCAGCTAGTGACCAACTGGTAGGGAAATACTCTCACCCTGTGACCACCAGCTCAGCCTGTAACCCGACACATGGTCTGCTCCACAGCAGGTGCTCAGGAAAGATCTGCTGACTGCCCTCCCTCCCTGAGGTACCTTTAAGTGGATGATATGTCCCTTGGAGACAATGCCCATGTCTTTCAAGTCTTCCTCCTCCAGAAGAAGCAGTCGCTTTCCCGTAATGTTGTTCTCCTTAAACAAGCTTGCATATACGCTCATCTCTGCGGAAGAGTCACCTGAGGGAAGTGATTAGAAGGCAGACAAAAATTAGACTCAATCACATCCAAGCAAAGTTAACTCCATGAATTAAGAAGGTAAGTTATGCCACTTGCCTTTTCTGACGAGCTGCTGAACCCAAAAATACTGTGAAAGAGAGGATACAGAACGTTTTGAAGATTCATACATGGTCAGTGACCAGACTTAACAGTAAAACACATAGTTCTCAAAGGATTAATATAGCGTTAATTCTTGGTTTACCCGCAAAGGTAAAAAAGATTTTCTTTTTATAGTTTTAAAACTTCCAGCTTGCAGATTGGAACTATCCCTCCCTTTGGGGGTTTTGGACACTTGAAGGACCATTGATTTTCCTCCTTATTTGAAAGATATTTAAAAATCCTCTCAAGAATTTCTTATTTATAATGATTTTTCCATTCATGTTTCAGTGGTCCCCTGGGGTGTTGAGAGAGGGTCACTGGTTTACCCAGGAATTGTATGAGTAATGGGGACCACAGAGCAGTGGTCAGAAAAGTGCGTAGAACGTGTCCCCTGTTCTAGGCCTGGTCATGATGTCACGTTGTGGCCCAGGACAAGTTAAAGCATGGAGCCTCCTATACAGAATGAGGTTGGATCCAGTGACCTCAGTCCTTTAATTTCACTTGGCACATGTTGACCATAGCCTCTCACATTCCCGGGGGGGAAGGGAGACAGAATTGGGGGCCAGACCCAGGTCCAGTAATTCTCTGGGAAGCCCTTGACCCTGGAAATTTATTTAAATGGTTTGAAAACCACTCAACCTCAGAACAAAGTCTAAAAATAGCTGTTAGAGCTCAGGGCCTTTTAAAACATTTCTTCAAATGAGATGGGCCAACTTTGCAGCTGGGGATAAAGGGATTCTGTCCAGGCCTGTGACTAAGGGAGATCCTAAATCCTCTTTCCTTGTTAAGCAGGGCTGGCAGGAAATGCAGAATCACCGGGGCTTAGGGAATGGGAAGGAGAGGCACCTGGTGTCAGCATCCCTACCCTGCAGAAGCTCATGCTGGAAGCAGCATTGCGTCACCAGAACACCAGGGGCAGGAAGGGACATGCCCAGGCCCAGAAGCCAGGCTGAGTTTGGTGAACCTTCCAAAGACCTTCCCAAAAGTTTCTAGTAGTGAGTTTCTACCTTGGGGTACCTGGTCTGTTTCCTGAGGTGTGGGCCTGCAAAGGCTACCATACAAGCTTTTTTTCCCCTCATTTAATGAGACCCTGAACTTATAAAATGGATCTGGACAGACATAAATCCCTGAGAATTCTTAAACCCATTTCTCACTAAGGAAACAGATATAAAGACACAAGAGGCTAAGTAGGATCGTTGCTCAGGGTCTCTACCCAGAGTGTAGGGTGTAGGAAGGACATCCTTTGGACTTAAATAGTCTGTTCACATCCTCCCCCCAAAACATGGGGCTTCTCTGGCACCAGCTGTAGAGAATGTCTGGGACCTCATGTCCATTCTTTCTTGGGAAGGTCAGAGTAAAGACGGCAAAGTGAACCTGTCACTTGCGAACAGGCTTAAGTCAGGAGGGAAATCCCAGTCTGGCCCTGCATTTACCAAATCTTTCCCTGCCGTGGTTCAAGTCCATCCCCGGTCTTTTAGGAAAACTTAAGATTAATTGTTTCTAAGTATGTTCATTTGGTATCCTGAATTCCCCCTTTAACTGGTGATTCATTATTGTATTCTGGAATACCTTTCAGAGCAAAGAGGGAGGTGGAATCCTCTTGTAAGATTTCAAGACATACTTGCTTTGCTCTTGAGGCCTGATTTTAAATCATTAATGCATTAAAAAAAATAGAAAAACATGGCATTTGTCAACTTCTTCTCCTTCTTAGACTTCCCTAAGGCTCAACCCCTCTAGCTGTGGACACATTTTGAGATACCTGCCCAGGTGAAACGAGGCATTACAGAAGCAGCTTACCACATCATCTTCCGTCCACGCACCAATCTCAAAGGAAGGCAGCAGCTGCATGGGGAATACGAATGAAACGGAAAAAAAAAAAAAAAAGGAATATTATCATTGTCTTTTTGGTTTATCCTCTCTTCTCACTATTTTACCTCTCAGCTGCTGCTCTGGCTTGGCTTCTCCTGCAGATTACCTTGAATGGAAAAATAATTTTCTCCACCTTAAGAGGACGTTCTCAGGGTTCCAAAGATGTTGCCCACAGAAGCCAGTCAAGTGTATCAAACTGTCAGCAACAATTCCTTGCACTGGGTGAGCTATTACAATAGGACCCTACACATCTTGGAATTTTCCTCCCTTGGTACTTGGCACACGGAGAGTAGTTGCACGTCCGGCAACAGGGCCTGGGCAGCCAAGGAGTTTCTGACATTTGTCAGATACCAGAGCCTTCTCTGCAATTCTGTCAACACAAGGATCATTTAATTATTAATGAAAATTCCAAAGCAACCTCTTGGTAACCAGATGTCTTATATACATATTCTTAGAGGGGAATTTCTAAGTGTTTAAATAATGTCTCACTTGCACTATATTTTTTAAATTAAATATTAGAAGGACAAGTGAAATCGGAACTGTCCTAAGAAACCCAGGTTGTCGAGTTGCTGTAAAACTAAACTAATCTCCTTCCCTGGCAGGTGCAAAAAAACAGGAAAGATGACTTTGCAAGAGGACTTCTGCCTGCCCCATTTTCAGAGCCAGTGGGCTACTCACTTTGATATATGCTCTATGGCCAAAAACTAAATAATAAATACCTACATACTTGGAACAAAAAATCTGCGTCTTGTGGCTTGAATTAGTTTGCTATAGATATTAGTTTTGACTAACTTAACTTGCAAGAATGGTTGGACTGCTAATGAGATAACATGGCAAAGTGTCTTTCAACTCCTGTTACAAATAGTATTTTTTTTGTGGAGGTGAGTTGGGAAAAAAGTTGGGTTTGGTTACTTTTACGATTAGTGTAAAAAAAATCAGAGGGCAGGTGAGTTGGTCCTTCTAATCTCAGGTATTTAAAATCCACATGCCCAAAACCTTGCTAGGAAAGGCAAGCCCCTGCCTTCAAAGAGGTTTTAATTTAATCTGAGGTGAAATAGGTATACATTATACCTTGGAGGAGTTCAAGACCGCCTTGATCTTGGTTTCCTCAGTGCCCAGGAGAGTGCCTGGCACACAATACCTGGTACAGTTTTGCTGAACAATTTGCTGAATGGGTAAATGGGAGGGTGCATTTCCCATGATGCTATATTCTCTGGTATAGCGTTCAATGTCTATGGGTAGACCACGGAAAAGGGAGGACCTCATAGCCTAAGATGGAGGATGGAAGGCACAGTGGCTTGAGCTGGCCCAGCAGAGCGAGAAGGGAGGTGACCCCTAGTGAGGAGAAGCAACAAGGCAAGACGCTGGAGGGGCGGGGGCGGAAGGGAGGATGGACACCACACGTTTGCCTGACCAGAGCTCCAGGTGCAGTGTGCGCATGTCCGAGGAAAAAGGGGAAATGAGGCCGATTCTGGGGGGACGCAGGCAGAATTATTTAAAAACCCCACTAGCTACCATACGTCTAAGTGCACGGAGCTTGAGCAGCACAGATAAGTTGCAAGGGTGTAAATTGCTACTACCCTGTATGCACGCTGCTACCCCCATGCACTTCGGTTCCCACAGGACTGTCCCTGCCTGACCGCCTCTGAAACACTTGGCGTTTTGTAGCCAAGTGCACTCACCTGCTTTAATAATGCAGAAAGGAAAGTGACTTGAGAAATAGGATCTAAAAGTTAACTTGATCAAAGAAAATGCATGACAAGTTCTATTTCTTCACAGGGCAGCTGGAAAGAGCTGCAGAAACATGTCATTCCCTTTTCCCATCATGGAAACAAATGTGAAACAAGGAACTTTTTTGATTAGTTCAAGAAACAGCAGACTGCATTATAGAGATGTTTCCCCGAATCAGGGCAGGCTTTTTTAGGGAGTAAGGGTGTATGGAATGTTTGATTTGTATACAATTCCCAAATGTTGTGCTAAACAAAACTGAAAATTTCTTGAATAGAATAAAGGTGGAAAATGAAGCAACTAATCAAAACCAGCATCTTTGGTTTTCATGTCAGAAGGAGAGAAGTGTCCTCTTGTGCTCTGAGGATGGCTCATCAAGATGACGAGGAGGGAGAGGTACTCGCTTCAGTCTGAGACTTGCTCTGGCGGGATTCTTGCACGATGCTTGCAAAGATCAGTCAGAGGATGGCTGGGGCCAGACACTGCTTCCAGACGGTTTGAATTGGGCAGGACAGGGGAGAAGAGTTAATGATCTCCAGCCACAGAGCAGTGTATCTGCTGTAGGGTGAGTTCTAAGCCCTTCTGTCTCTCTTTGGGGATTAAAAAAAAACCCCACCTCATGACTGCCCCGTCACTTTACAAATTCATTATTTGCACTCCAGTTGATTTCAGGAGAGAAGAGTTCACACTCATGGGAACGTGTGTGACAATGATTCCTTCAAAGGATGTTGGGAATCCGATCTAACAAAGCTCTGATATACACAGCAACACAGAACAAAGGAATTTACTGTCAAAACGTTTATTGCAAAATGTAGTCTTAAAACAAAGGAAAGCAAAGAAAAGTTCACATCAAAATGAAATGTATGACACCAACTTGGATTTCTGAATACATTGTGGACTTTGTGCTGGAATATCAAATTCCAACGATGACGTCAATAACCGAGTAGTCTTACCACACAAAGTAAAATTTAATCTTCCATACAAACATGATACAAGATTTTGGCAAAGGACTTGCTCAGAATAACATTGCCATAGAATAATTGAGAAAAACGTTTTGTTAAAAAAAAAAAAAAAAACAAGAATGTGATAATGCCATCTATTCAAAGCTCACACTCAAAGAATATAAATATTTTCTATTATTTAGTACAAAAATTTAAAACAGTGCAAAAGCCATATGTGCAGTGTATTCTATCTGACATTAAGAGATATATTATTCTGCACACAATACAAAATAATAAATGTAGGTGCTTGAAACTCTCGTTCTGAAGTAAATAATCACATGCCAGAAAGCTCCACACAGGCAATGGAGTGCAGACTAGCTTGGAGTCCGAGGAGACACAGCTAGTCCCCATTATCCTGCTGGATGCCCATTTCTCATCACAGGGAAGCAGTACCTAGAGCTGTCAGGCTACACTACCATCAAGAGGACAGAGCCATTCTTCTCCTGGCAATGCTTAAAATCTAAACAGGAAAACAGTCTTAGTCCAAAGCAGCAAAAGGTACCTGATTATAGAGAAATTGTGTCCTATTCTATATGTGATACGGTGAGAATCTGTTAGTTTCAAAAGGCAGCAACAAGTCTAGTGTATCAAAAAAAAAAATCAAGATTTAACTCAGAGTAACCTGTAAAATTAGCTTTCATGAAATTCTTACCACTCCAAAGAAAACTCTGAAATATGAAGTTGTGTACATTGTAGTGTTGTGAGAAATCTTTTTAGAGCTCTCCCAAACCTTCCCCCCACTCTCAGTTCTTTGATTTTCAGAGATCAAGTCTGAGTTCCCCAGCTGGTATGGAAGTCTAACCAATCTACTACATATTAAAAATCACTGGCTAAAAACTGGCCCTCAACATTTCCAGAGCATCAAAAACAAATGTGCTCTGTGCCTCTAACCTCTTTCCATTGGTTATTTATGTAAAATGTTAAAATGTGATTTTGCTTTAAAAAAAAAAAGGCTGTTAAGAAACGAGTCCTTTTAAATTAACCTGGCCACTTTGCAGGACAATTTTTCTTTCAATGACATTTTTCTTGTGAGGATTTAAGATAAATGGCACAAATCTACAAAATTCAGATTGTGTAAGTAATCGTAATTCTGAAAAATGCACCTTTTGACTTGGATAGTTTTGTTTAGGGGAAAAAAATGAGATGTGGAATCCTAAAACTGCCAGGTTTAGCCAGTTTTCTCGGTGGAGGAAGGGACAATGCAATGGGTATTTTGGATGGGATTCTTCATTGGGTGGGACTGGCCCTAGCATGCAGGATATTAACATGTTAGGCACTGGGTACTAAATATACCCCCTGTCACCATGACAACCAAAATACGCCCCAGCATCACCAAACACCATTCAGTGACAGCATTATCATGGAAGAGAACCGCTAACAGGGCGTCATCCAATTCTATATGATCAACTTTATGAGTAAAGGGAAAAAGATGAAAGAGTAGTTATATTTTCCGTTGTATGGCTCTGATAATATTACCACAATTGAGAGTTTCAGTTCTCATTCTGAATCTTCAGATTTCTGTTTCTTTAACTATTCTCTTTATAAATGAACATTTTTGTAAGTCAAGTAACTGGAAATAAATCCAACACCAGTAAATAAATCCAACATCAGTTTCAAAAACTGACCCGACAAGTGAATTAGAAGCTGCACAGTTAAAATCATCATTAGGAATTCTGCATATTGCTAATAAATATTTCTTGTTAAAATTAAATAAGGCTAATAATAGAGTTGAAAGTTTTCTAAATCATCTTCACAGGTAGAGTGAGACCACTTTAAGATTCTGTTTATATGATTCAGATTCCAGAGATGTTCAAAACCCTAGAAAGACACTGATTTGGAACAGGAAGTAAAATAACCAGTGCCATTAATTCTCTATAGCCCAATTCTAGGTGGAGAACATTTCAAGCTTATCACCGAGGTTATCAATTCTGCTGTATCAGAAATCTCTGCAGTTTCTAGACGGTAGAGTATTGAGCTGTGACCATCTCTGGAATATTGGTGAGGAAAACGGCAGCCTGACTGAAGGCAAACCCAGGGCTGGCTTATCACCCTTCTCTTTCTGCCATATTTAGTTGCTTTTACTGGTGCACCAAAACCTTATCACAATAGATTGAATTATAAGTTTTGATTTAATGTGAATTAATGTAAAATTCTTAAAAATGTCAGTCTGCATTTCACATGTTCTAAATTTACTGCTGATTTTCCTCCAATGAGAGGTAAAGTTTATATTCTTACATAAGGTGCACAGATCCCAAAATCAGCCCGATAGAAACTGTGTATCAGTGAGGCCTCTCCTGACCATGCTTGAAAGTCCGCAGCACTCCCCTATGTGACTCATCCTCCTTCCCTGCTTCATATTCCAGTGTGCGCTTATCAAATGTTTCCTGTACAGTCCATTTGTTTTGTTTATTGTCGATCTCAGTTTGCTAGCATTAAGCTGCAATGGTGCAAAGGTTTTCGTCTGGCTATTCCCTAGGATGGTACTCAGCACAGAGGAGGGGCTCAATGAGTACTAGCAAGATGAACGACTTTGCCTTTGCCTGGGAAGATGTGCCAACAGGCTTTAAACTACCCGGTCTTTGGCGCCCTCCTTCAGATCACACGGCCACAGAGCCCCAGGACATGCTGGGAAGTCCAGCGCTGAGAAGCAACCCTTCTGCTCCGCTCCAGGGTCTGTTTGACTGGCTCGGCCTGAATCAGGGAGGGCTTCTCTGTGTCTGAGCACAGACGGATGCCTCTTTATGTCTGCACCTGTCTGTCACCAGCTCTATACTGTGGTGTGTATCTGCATCTATGTTTGCACAGACACAGACAGTGTCAAAAGGGGTAAGTGGGGACCCCATCTTCTAGGGGAAATGTTTACCTCTTCTTTCTGGGTTTGCCTGCTCTGGGGGTGGTAGCAGGGCCTGCAGACGCCTCAGACCAGGCAAACCTTGCCATGTGCACGGTCTTCAAAGGGCGACAGAGTAGATCTGCTTGCATAGCTTACGTTCTGAAGGTGTTCTCCTTTATCTTTCCTGAAGGCAATTCACTTCAACTTTCATCTCATCCTACTCAACAAATATCACATGAAGTTGATGGTTTCGTTTTCCAGCTATGGAAACCACTTATTTTCCAGTGTCTTTTCAGTGGCATAGTTAACAGTAGCGAACATTAACGGACCGCTTCCCGCGAGCCCGGTACTGAGTTAAGTGCTTTACCCGTATCATTTCATTGAATCCTCCCACCAACCCTCTGAAGTGGATACTTTCATCATTCCCATGTTAAAGATGAGCAAACAGACACACAAGCTACATAATCTGCCCAAGACTGCACAGCAATTCTGAATCACGGTCTGACTCCAGATCCTTCTCTCCATCACTATTCTATACAGACTGGTCCACATTTCACACCCAGAACATCTTATTACTTATTTTTCTTCAGATAAAGCTGGCACAGCATACTGATCATTTTGTGATATTTTTCCTGCTCTTAACAGGAATTAGAAGCATGTCATGCTTCAAATTCCAAGAGGCTTTGGAATTGTAAATAGTATTAGATAATATTTAATTTCTTAAATCTTCTGTAAAAAGAACTACCAAAGTCAAACGAACTGCTTTCTAACTGAGGTTGAAAAAAAGTCTTTGTTCTTTTGCCTTTCTGTATATGTATATAGCTACAAATATTTTTGTAGTTAAAAAAAAACGGTGTTTTATAGTTTAAACAAGCTTTGACAAATATGTGAAGATTCTGAGAATCTCTCTCTGGCTAGCTAGGTTTTCAGAGCAGCACCTACACTGACTTCTGTTTAACAGCAGCATGGCTGAGTCAGGATTAAAAAAAAAAAGACAACTCTAGAAGACCAGATCTGATAGAAAAAGGACCCTTCATTCTGCACTTTTGCCTAAGTAAGGATAGCTTATCTTTGCTATTCTTTTCATAATATTTAGTTCCCTCTTTAAAATATCTATTCATGTATTTAAAATGCAGGATTTTCATGCAGAGCCCTCTGGAAAACAAACACACATACCCTCTTCCTGCCCCTGCCCCGTGTTAATACTCACACTGCCTGGAGGTATCCCTTTAGAGCATATCCTCCTCTTTGTATGAAGTATAAGCTCAGCCTTAGATGACAGTGTGTGAAGGAGCTTCAAGGGTGAGCACCGGTATAAACGCCTGCAGCATCTGCTGCTGGTATCAAATTAGAGTATTTCTCCTGTAAACGTATTATTGAGAACATCTCTCGGGTTTTACTTTTAGTAGTTGTGCTATTATCTATTAAAAATTCTCAGCACTTAGGTATTTCTGAAGAAGTATTTGTTATAACCTCCTTTCATCTCTTTTTTTATTGCTGGATTTTTGTAGTCACTATCACAATTATTTCTGACAGGACAGTGTATTGCCATAAGAAGAAAAAATGTAGTACGTTTATAAGAAAATCAAGTGTCAAAGAAGAATTAGGAGTTGAGTGCTTGTTCAAAATGTAGGGTTTTTTTAAGCAATTGAATAAATGAAATGAAATCAAATCAAATGCTAACTATAAAGTATTCATTAAAAAAAAGCCAGAACATCATTAGTTAAAAAATACTATATTGCATATAGAATCACAAATTTCTATAATCAGGCACCACATTTGCTGATTCATTAAATAGACCCTTTTGGCTTAATTCCCCTCCTCCCCCATTTTTCTGTAAGCAAAAGCAAATCAAAAGTAGAATCGTAAAGAAATGACTGTCATATAAATGTGATTGGCCTAAAAATGCAGTGCTTGGTTCTCTACCTCCCTACTGGCTTTTTGTACAGATTGAGATAACAAGTTTCTTTTGTTTTCCCAAACGTATTCAATTTTCTTACTTCGCTTTCTGCTTTCATTCACTATTATTATCCATGTCATTATCCTCCTCATCACCGTCATCATCATCGTCATCATCGTCACCTTCTGACAAGTCAAAATCACAGAACCCCAGGGCCATGTTGACTTTCTTCCCCTTTCTCTTAGATGTGGTTTTGGAAGAATTCTGCTTGGCTTGCATGTTTATCTGCATCCCAGAATGCAGCACAGCTCCTGCTTTGTTCATTGAGAAGATATCCCCAAAGCCCATCAGCATCATGGCCTGCAGACTTTGGTTCATGCCATGGCCCTCCCCGTTACTTGCTGCTGTGATCTGACATGACATCTCTGCACTGTTTGACTCCTCTGTCTTAGATTCAAAGTAAGACTCCTCAGACATTCTTGCAGCAAGAGGCAAGAGAAGCTATCACGAGGGAAGAAAGGACAGAAGTAAAAAGAGAAATTAGGACCAATTTAAATAAAGGAAACAGACAACACAAAATTAGTGGGTGCTGCACAGAAGGTAAATGATTAGTGAAATAAATGAATGTAGGGAATTATGTGAGAATTTATATAATGGCAGGTTTGGTTCCAGCGTGTTTACCATCATTAATAAATGACAGAGTAAATCACCACCAAAAGTATGTACCGCAGCAAGCCACATTCCAAATAGGAAGGAAGTCATATGTTTCAAGCCCTCATTTTGCTTAAAACAAAGTAGTTTTTAGAATTTCTCTTTTTTTTTTCTCCCAATTTCACTTTCATATGGAAACATTTAGTTAACTATCACATTAAAAAAGAAATTAAGTAGGGATTAAAAAGCGAGAAAAAAAAAATCAAGAAAACTTGTACCAAAGAAGAAAAGCTTAGAGGAAGCATGGAAACAATTCAGCAGTCAATACAGTTCTGGGGAAATTTGGGTCATTATTAGCTGCCTTTTCAGCTAGATCAAGTATTCGACTATAAACTAAAAATGAGTCTACAATTCACTTGTCTCCATCTATTATTTATTACAGCCAGATATGATACAATACTAGTTATTCAGTTTATGAAATAATTCACTTGTGAACAAATACTAGATTGTCTCTAAGATTTAAATTATAAATAAGTATGGAAGTACATCTGCAAATGGAGAGGAAAGGAAACTAGTATTAATTTAGACTGCTACCTTCGTTTGTATTCTCTACAAGTTTCCTTCTTTTAGCAGAATTTTTTTTCCCTAGGGATTCTCCTTCTCATAGCAGAGACGGACATTTATTTTCAACCTTACATAATTACTTTACACAGCCAACCTATTCCCATAAATGTTGTCCATACACATTTCAGGGGTAAAACTGTTTGGGTCTGAAAGTGTTCCTGCCTCTTCTTTTAAGAAATAAGCAAATGACGGCTTATATTTTTGATGTTGTTTAAATAAGTGTAAATTTATGATAAACAATGTACAAATAATATAACTCTGGGATGACCTTTCCATTCTGGGTGTAAAGGTACTTTTGGGGCCAATTTCTTAATTTTTAAATTAAAGTTTGATTCAAGTTTTTTTGTTTTTTAAACTATCTTAACTCCATTAGGAAAAAAACCTCTGCAGTTACATGTTCAATAAGAATTTCACAGAATTCAGATAAAAAGTACCAGTTATGTGGGAGAAAAATATTGCTTGAGATTCTTTAACTCCGGAAACAGGCTATTTTCCTTGTAGTCAAATTTCCCAGCCCCTCAGATTTGTTTCCTATTGCTGGATGCTCTCAGGGATCTCCTTGTTGCTTATCTATTTTATTATTTCATGGGTCCTTCCTCACATCATGTTAAGATGACAATGAATGCCTCACAAATGAGCTTTTACTTTTAAAAGAAATAAAATTTCTACATCAAGCTACAACAATCATTAAAAAATAAACATTGGTTCATATTTGTGTATGGAGAATTGATCTTCCCAAATAGCTTTTACTAATGTTTTCATTTCAAGAAAGGAAAGTGTCCTTTCTCAAAATAAATCCAATAATATAATTTTTTATAAAGTTACTTAAACTTTTATAATTATGATGAGGCTACCAACAGAAAACCTTAGTCTCCAGCCATTTCCTTTTAAAAACATTTATTTTATCCATCTCTCAGAAGCCTCATTTAAAGTCACCTAGAAACCGATGTGAGGATAAAAGAAAACACCTACTTATAAAATACGTGAGCACAAACTTTCTTTCCTTCAGAAATACCAGCTCCAAGCAGAAGAGCTGTGAAAAGCAAGTGCTGTCTAGAAAGAAAACTTAGGCTTCGTAAGTAAAAAAAAAGGAAGGAACTGTCATTGAGGTCGTGCTGCATGCTGTCCATTGTCAGCTGGGAGCCCTCAGAGTGGTTCCTTTACAGACAGTTTTCTGCAGTTACAACGCAAGCGTACAACCTCCTGTGCACTCAGAGGTTTTCATTATTTGTCATACAACTGTGTTACTAGTAGCAATAATGCGTGCAAGGCAGGCCATAATTTCTTAGCAAAACTAATGCCAGTAAACCAAAGAAAGGTTTTAAAGCATACTCTAATGGGTAGTTTAAAGTTTTTTTTCTTACAGTGCTACATTTAGAAAGAGTCAAGCCATGCAGTGCTTTACAGCTTAAGATTTCAGTGTATTTTAAAACATCCCACAACTCTCAGACTTCACAACATGGCCATATTTTTGCCTCTCATCAGCTCTGGGAGAAGGAAAGTTCCCTTGCAGATCCTTAGGCTTTCTGAATCTGCCTGTTGGTACCAATTCAACCAGAACTGGAAACTTCCCTGGACTTCATTCTTGAGAGCCAAGTTAAATTCACTGGACTTATAAAATGGGTACCATCTTAATATCCCATGGCAGTCTTTTGCATAGCAATTCAGTTCTCACTCTGGGATTCCCTGGATAACCAAAGTCATTTTTGAAAAAGTTAAATCTGATAATAAACATTTAACTTCACTGTATCCTTCATTTTGGGATATCAGCTTCCTTCTCCGCATAAATTTAAAAAGGAGGCAAGCCATTTTATTCTTTAGACACTGGAAAATACTTTGTAGCTGGGTTTTGGCTGTTTAATGGAGATTAAGACTTTTAGAAATAGGAAAGTCTTTTAAAGATGACAAAGTGAAAGGCATTGAAGTATTCTGGGGGTAAAGTTGCCACAGCAACAATCAAAAATGAATTTAAAATACATAACAAGTGTACTTTTAATTTTACTATTACTTGTGATCTTAAAGTGGACAAATATTGCCCATTAAAAACCCTGAACAAAAACCCCAATGATAAATTTATACTTAATTCCCAAAATGATGTCATTTAAAATAGGGAAGAATGCTGGAATTTGACTAGATTTTAATCTATCGTATCAACATATAAGCTCAAGATAAGTGTATAAATAGCAAAACCCTTAAAAATCCATTTTTATCTTGCTCCAAATATGAGTTGGAAAAAAAAAAACCAAGTTATTTCCTAGGTGTAGTAAATACTGGACGCTTATCCTGAGAGATGTCTTTTTCTTTCGCAGCCCATGCTTATGACCCTAAACTGAGTAAGGGATATTGACGCTATTTACAGGTCATGAAGTTAGCTCTCTTTTAGAAGGAAAACTCAGAGAAGTTCTGACACATCAACGTCTCCCTAAGACAGCTGGCTGCCTTGGTGTAACGTTCATTAATTACTGAGGGACTCTAAAGAGTTAATCAGCCTCGAGGCACATGTTCTGGGGATCTAACAGATGGTGTGAAAATACACTGAATTTTATTTTTGTGCCTCTAACATACAAACACACTGACAGAATAACAGTTCTCACGGAAAGAGCCATAAATAGGATAAGCACTTCTTCTAAATTCCTGGCGTTTTGTTAATTGAAGAGAGAGAGAAGCGCTACTTGCGGTATCAATGCGGCCCCTTACTGCGCAGGCGCAGCCAGGAGGTTTGGGGAGGGGGGAGTGGGGAGGGGGGAGGGGGGTGCCATGCTGCCATGCTCAGCCAGGCTCTTCGGTGGGGGTCACTCACCGGGGTGTTGGACTGCTCCGTTAGCTTTTGCTCCCACATCTTTAGACGTCTCTCTCGTTCTTTGAGCTCCTGCTCTTTAAAGCTGAGGTCACGTTCGAGTTTCTTCAGCCTCTCAAGAGTTGCTTCAATTTCGCCCCTGCACAGGGAGAACTGGGTTAAGTCTCAGCTTTGCTCAAGAGTTACTCCACGCTCGGGGGCCCACCGAAATGCTTGGTCAAAGGAAAAGGTGAACACTTGTGCTCTGAAACCAAACAGTAAACTAGCAGGGAAGAAGCGATCGTTCATAGCCTTCAAAATCAACAGGTAGTTTCTAGCTTGGAAACATAAGCTTGGAACATTTCCACCAAGCAGGGAATAACCATTGGCCGAAGCCTACACTTCGGAGCTGTGTCCTGGCTTAGCCATTTAATTAATGCTTACAGTCCTCTACCTCTATTAGTATTACCCCATCTTATTCTCATTACAGCCCCAAGAAACAGGTACTAATCTCATATAGAGAGAGATGGGAAAATGACACTTGGTTATGTGGTCACCATCACACTAGTAAATTTACAGTAGCCTATTTCCTGGCTGAGTAACTCAAGCAACCAGCTGATTAACCTCAGGTTCCTCAGTTGTCTGGGGCGGTGGTTATCCTATATCAGGGCTCAACAACTTGCCTGATCCACCTGATCCTAATAATTACCTGGGCAGCCTATTAAACGAACAACACACACAACAAAACAGATTTCTAGGATCCTTCCTCAGAGCTCAGGATTCAGTAGGGCTGGCTGGGGCCTAGGGATTTCCATTATTTTATAAAAGACCCAGGTCATTTTTATGATCAGGCAAGTGTGGGAAATCCTGGGCCAGAAGAACTCTAAGGTTCCTTCTAACTCTAACAATTTTAAAAGCAAGTTAGTTCCCTCCTTAGTCTCTATGGGCCGACCAACCTCACCACTTGGAACAGTAATGTCCGGTGATAGGAACCTGTCCTTTATAGAAACTGAAACTGGTAAGATGGCTCAGTACAAGTTTTTTCCTCCTTCAGGTCTAAATTATGCTCTGAAAGTTGGAAGTTCTTTCCCTTGAGTTTCGGAAGAGCCTGTGAGAAAAGCAATGATAAGGAGAGACAGAGAAAGCAGGGGGGTGGGGGGAGGGGAGGAGAGGAGAGAAGACGGGGCAGAGGATGGAGGGAGGGAGGGAGGGCTGGAGAAGGCACACAGAGAGCAGGATGCAGGAGAAGGAAGGGACTGGGGAGAGGACACAGGTGGAGATCAGCTGCTGAGCCAATAGCTGCTTCCAGGTGCCCTGGGGACACATCTGCACGTCAGACTGCAATTCTGGTGAACACCTCGACGGCAGAAGGTGGAAGCCCCCACATCTAAGTTAATGAACCTGTGTAACTGAAACCTGCCTTTTCACATTCAGGGAAAACCAGAGTAAGTGGACAGCCTATCTCCAATGCCCTTGTAGATAGAGAGAAATAAATGAAAACAAAAAAGTCCTAGGTACTGACTGGCAAAACCCAACTCAGGGAACAGCTTACTGAGAGGGTTCTGGATTTGAGCCCCACGCTGTCCTTTGTCGGCTGCTGGCAAAGGACTTCAGAGCAAGGGAAGGAGTACAGTAAGCGTAAAAGCAGCTGCTGTCAACCCTCTGTCCCTTTTATCGGTGCCATATGAAAATTATAAAACCATTTAAGTCTAGTCACGTAAGAGTCCCTCGAGAAAGGCAGTAAATCTGCAGTCTCAAAATTATGACCGTACCATAAAATCTCAATTTTATCCCTGATATTTCAGACAGCAACTTTATGCCCATTCATAAATAAGGTTGTTTTATTTTTCAAAGGGAGGACTGAAGGATAAAAACGCAGTGTGGAAAACCTTAGGTTAAACTTTGGTAACAGAAAGAGCCAACTTCAGTAAGTGAGGGTGAGAAGAGGGGGCAGCAGAGCTGGGCAGACTCAGGGGGGTGTGGTCAGTGACCAGGGCTGCTGCCTACTCCCAGTCCCGGCTCTCCCAGTCCCAGGTCTCCCAGTCCCCGCTCTCCCAGTCCCAGGTTTCCCAGTCCCCGCTCTCCCAGTCCCAGGTCTCCCAGTCCCGGCTCTCCCAGTCCCAGGTCTCCCAGTCCTAGGTCTCCCAGCCCTGGCTCTCCCAGTCCCAGGTCTCCCAGTCCCGGCTCTCCGGCCTGGGACACTGAGCACACTGATGTTCTTTCTGATCACAGTAAGTGGCCAACACATTCGATTTCACTTGTCATTTAAGCCAAGAATTCATCTCAAGTTCCAGGTCTGGGAGCCCACTCTGATTTGAGCCCTACTGGAAAACAGATCAACAGCTAAGTAAGCTGAGATCTGGGACACAGGAAAACAAACACTGGCTGAGTAAATATGCTTCCTTGGTCCATCCCCTCAGGGCCAGCTCCCCAGCACAGCTCCCCCAGATGCCCCAGGATCCTGACAGCAGGGTTCAAGGTCTTATCCCCTGAGAGATGTAACCCCAACCTGGAGGGCAGCACACAGACAGCTGCTCCCCTTGCTGGTCCCTGTTTTTCTTCATGCATTGTTTTGCATCAAGTGTGTTTGGTTGCTGCACTTACATAAATTTCCTTCTCTAAAAATATGGTTTAAGCGTTTTAGTTGCTGAAAATTACAGTTTTTCTCTTAAACCATATCCACCTAAGGTTGACTTCAACTAGTATCAATTTTCCATATGTCAAAAACAGGGAAGGAGCTATAATTACCTTCTTTTATTAGACAGAAACTTGCTTTGAAATAAAAGATCAATTTGTATAAACAGCTATATGATATATAGTACATGAGAAATAGATCATATATGTATTAAAGTTAGTGTTATGTATTAAATTAAATAATTTGTGACAAAAATCTAAATTGCAAAGATTAATTTTTCTTAATCTCTCTTTTTATTTTAATGGAGGTACTGGGGATGGAACTCAGGACCTCGTGCATGCTAAGCGCCTGCTCTACCACTGAGCTGTACCCTCCCCCGTTTTTGGTTTTTAAGAAGGCGCGCCACAGTGAGAGCATTCTGATCACCAAGGAAGAACGCAACGAAAAAACTGTTTTGCCAAGAGACAGAGACCTGTTTGCTCCATCAAAGCAGCACAGAGCTCACTCAGTGCAGACAACCGCAGGTCTGCAGACAATCACAAGAGGTAGTGAGAACTGAGAACGTGACCATGAGACGACGCATTTTCTGCTCTTAATGCTCATTGCCACTATTGCTAATAAGTCAACAGGAGGAGAAATGAGCTGAATGTGATGAACAGGGAAAGGTCTGCCAGGAAATTTCTTTCTTATCACTTATTAGGTCAAAGGAAAGGACATAGTTTTGTGGTTTTTAATAAGCTAGTTATAAAAAGAATTTTCAGAATATTCAGTAAGACTAGAAGATCCATCTGATCTCTGTGTAGAAGCAGCTCTACAAGCAAACAAGCTTTTGCCAGAAACACCCGAACAGGACTGGAGTCTGCCTTCACTGAGACTCTAACTCCCCAGCCCACTTTGGACCCTTGGTGCATGGTTTCCAACACCAGACACGCGTTGGGGGAGGGAGAGGAGTCGTCTGATTGTGTCGCCCTTTGAAACATCCAGATGACCTGACAGAACATTTCCCTCTTCTTGACACTTGGCATACTGAGTGGAATGGCTTTTCTGCCTTAATCATAACCTAAAAGCATCATGTCCTGTAAGATTTCTCTTTGCTAAAAGGGAACCTAGTCGGGTGAACACTGCAGGCTACCTGGGCGGACAGCACGATGCTGGCCGCTCGTCCCGGGACAGCACTGCAGACAGAGTGTGCGCCACACACAGCTGGCCTGTGGGGCCGGAGCTGGGGCTCCAGTCCGGGCTCTGTCTTACGTGGTGTGAGTGCTGGGCAGGCTGGCCAACCTGTCCAGGTCTCGATTTTGCACCTGTGATGTAAATTAGGGTTGCTATGTGGATACAAAAGATAATCCACATGAAGAACAGGCATCTGAGTTAAGACTGTAATAAATGACAGCTGCGTTCACTACCGTTACTCTGGCTAATATGATTATGCCTCGCATTTTTAACCAATTGCCAAGTTCACTTAAAACAGCTCTGCTGCTTCTCAAACTGTGGTTTACTGGTTCAGGTAAAGGTAGCTAGTCTCTCTCCAGCTCTCAGGATTAACTAGTTCCTGAAGGAGAGCCAAAGAGGAAGCCCCCTAGGGAACTGATTACCTTTTACTAAAGTACTTAAATGTATCACCAACTTTATTCCTCTCATCTTTTCAGCTGGAAGCATTTTAAAAAATATAAATTTGTTATTCAATGAATCCAGGTCTACTGTAGAAAACGAAGACATACACATAGAAAATTCTCCCATAATCTCATTACACAATGATAACACTGATCTTTTTATACTTTCTCTGTGTACTCACACACATATATACACGCATAAACATGTTTATTTTAGAATAAATGGAATCATTCTAAACATACTGGACTGTAGCCTCTATTTTTAAATCATGTATCAGATTTTTCTTATCATGAATGGCTCCATACTATTTTGTGTATGGAGACACTATAATGTTTTCAAATCATAAAAACCACAGGAAACCCAAAATCTTTTATTTTACTTGATGCCCATTTCCAGTTTTACAGTTCTAAATGATGCTGTGATAAACAAATGCATACATACACATCCTTGCATAGCCCTCCCATTTATGTTCTTAGGATAAAATGACAAAGACAACTGGTCTCCACAGTCACACTGTCTTCCAGAAAGGTAGTATGTTCGCAGCAGCAAAGTATGAGGAAGTTTATAAACTTTGATAACATAATTTTTTGCCAGTCTGATGAATAAATTATGCTCCCTTTTACTTGATTGCTAAGTGAGGTGGGATATTTTTCGTATGTTTATTGGTCACGTGATTTCCCCTTACTGAAATGCCATTTCAGGCCCTTTAGTATGATATTTTAATTGGAATGTTATTTTAAAGACAGAAACTCTATCACGGTGGTTCTCAGAGTGTGATCTGGGGACCCATGAGAGGTTCCCAAAGGATTCGCGAGGTTAAACCAGGTTTCAGAAGAACAGGAAGATGTGATTTGCCTTTTCCACTCTCATTCTCTCCTAAGTGTACAGATTTCCCAGAAGCTTCATGATCTGTGATAGCACCACAGGCTGAGGGCAGAGGCAGGACTTACCACTGTTTTTCAGATGAACCAGTAAATATATATTTAAATATTTTCTCAGCTCTAATTTTGAATGTGGTAAATACTGACAGATGTAACCCATTTAAACTAAAGCCCTTTGGCGCCCTCAATAATGTTTCAGAGTGTCATGGAGTCCAGAGACCAAAAACTCTTTGAACTCCTGACCTGTCGCATCGGGAGAAACGCTGTAACAGTCTGGCATTTGTCTCGGAAATTTATTTACTGTGGGTAGTGCTTTGGGCCTTACGGAGGGTTTACATTTTTATATAGAAAACTTACCAACGTGCCCCGTGGTTTCTGATTTTGCTGACATACTTTGGACCCGCTAGCTCATGGGTATTAATAGTAGTATAAAATTCCTGCTAATCCTTTGGCTAACAGATCAAACAGCAGTTCCTCAGGGAATCCTTTGGTTAAATCCTCAGACTAGATTAGATTTCACGGTTACATACTCTCAGAGGTCCAGTCTTCCCTCTGTCGTGTCTTATCAAAATAGTGTGAAACAGTTATTTGTATATCTGTACTGAGTCATCGAAGGCTGGACGCCCCACATGCACTGGGACTGTTCTGCTCACCACCACAGCCCAGCACCTAGAGGACACCTTTCCCCAGCAGAGGCTTAACCAATTCTGAGTGAGTGAATGTACGAAGCATCTCTTTCAAAGCAAACAAATTAACTTACGTATTTACATTCTCTATTGTAACTTTGTGATGTCTTTTTTTTTTAACTTTTTATTTATTTTATTTGTTGCAATGTTATGCCAATTTCTGGTGCACAGCACAATGCTTCAGTCCTACATGAACATACATATATTCGTTTTCATATTCTTTTTCACCATAAATTATTACAAGATATTGAATATAGTTCCCTGTGCTATACAGCATGAACTTGTTGTTTATGTGATACCTTTTAATATTATTACCACCATAGTATTTCCTTCCCCATAAAATATAGTCAATGACTGAGCAACTTCTTTGGTCAAGACATGCTCTAGATGCTGTCGTCACAGAGATAAGCAATAGAGGTAATCTGACTCTCTCACATTTTAGCCAGTGGGACACACATTAAACAACAAACTGCAGAATTACTGTTTTTTTTTCCATCTTGCGCGGGGAGATAAACTAGGCTTATTTATTTTTAGAGGAGGTGCTAGGGATCGAACCCAGGACCTCGTGAGCTATATCCTCTCTGACAGAATTACTTCTTAATTTCAATGGCAGTAGAAGCTATGAAGGAGATGCTCTCAAGGGACATAAAGTGGAATCTCATCTGGTCTGGGATCAGGAAACACTTCCTTGAAGAAGTACTTTTTTCAGCTGCTATCTGAACAACAAGGAGGAGCTAAGCTGGGTGTGGGCATCCGGGTGGTGTATCGCTGAAACAAGAATGAACGCGTTGGCAAGGACTCCGAATGAGGGAGAAACATGCGTCTGTTGAGGGAGCGAAGGCAGAAATTAAGGGGCAGAGCGATGCTCTTCAGATGACGCCAGAGCACAGAGGGTAGCGCGAATCTTAAGTATTTTGGCCTTTGTCCTAGAGTAATGGGAGCCCCTTCTACAGATTTGAAAGGGGAGTGATCTGATTAGATACAGTAGGAAACAAATATTACTTACATGTTTTGCTTTGTTAATTATTTCAGCCCAGAACAAATACCTAGACTTAAGCACACAGTGTTACTTTTGAATCACTAAATAAAAATTCACTTAATTCACTGTTCTTAGAGATTTCCAAAGAAAAAAAAAAAAACCAAGAAGGCTATTGTAAACACCAATCAAAGTCCAAAGAAATGTGTAATCACAGGAGTAAACGAGTCCGTTTTTTAAGTGCATGCAGTACTCATTTGGCATCGGCAGGTGGCGTCAAGCGTTATGTTCCTACCACAGCTATCAGCTGCAGAGACGAGTTACTTGAATCTCTGCTGAGTCAAGGAGGAATAATGTTAGCTCCCAAACATGCTATTTATATTCGTGCATCATGTGACCAGGATCAGATGTCTCACCCGGGGTTACTTCTTCCACCCACACAATACAATTTTCTCATTACTATGTTTGTTTACACTTTACAAAATTTAATAGGACTTTTAACATCAGAAGTTTCCTTTTAAAAGTGTTTTTACAGTCTCCCTACCTCTTCCACCAACAGATGCAGTGCTCTACAAATTTCCAGGCAGACAGTATTCTTATTACTCCCTGGACAGAGGCCAAAGTTTCCTAACACGGAGCGTGCACAGAGAAATGTCTGGTAACTGTCTTTTGTCTCAGAAGATATGGTTTCAATATTCTTTCCAAATACTTAGACACGTGATAAGGCAGCAAGTTTAGAGGGGCACTCTGCTTACATACGAGATGGAGGGCCATCAGCACTGGAAAAGATTTCGACACACAAAACACATCAAAAAGCCCTTAGTTTCTAAGAAATCAGGACTGTCATCAAGTTCTCAGGTTCTCTTCCTGGCTGAAATCAGTCAAGGTTCCTAAAAGCCAGAGGCTGTGACTCAGGTGCGAGGCCACCTACCTCCACTCTGCCTTGTTGTGCAGGAATGAGTTACACTGGTTAGGAAGGTTAATGTCGTTTGACATGGACTCCAGAATTGAAATGATTTGCTTGAAAGATGGCCGTTTCTGAAGAAGAAGAAGAAAAAAAAATAATCACCTTCTGGGGCTTAAGAAAGTAGATCTTTAAGAGAAAATCCACAAGCAAAGTAATAAGCTCAAGTCACCATACCAATGGAAAAGATGATGGAATGTCCTGATTTAGTTATTTCACAGCTGTCAGACTGCTCAGGTTTAGGGAACCATACTCATTTTTAATCAATTATCCACAAGAATAGACTCAGACGTCATTTTTCTATCATGTGGCCTCAGGTTGGAATGATGACAGTATTTTTCCAGGTAAGGAAAGTACTAACTACTTCTCTCTTTGGGGTATGATTAAGGGCTCCCAAAAGAAAAAAGTTAAGTCTTTAAAAATTTACGTGGTAAGGCAAGTATTGTAAGTGTTAACGGCAGAGTCTGAGTGATAAGTGTACCTACAGGTATCACCTATAGTGCTGACTGTAAAATTCTTTGCCCTCTTCCATATGCTTGAAAATGTTTATAATAAAATGTTGGGGGAAGATCTACTTACCAATCTATCAGAACTAATAAAATTTCCTACACCAGGTGCTCAGAGAAAAATCCCCCAATTTCATAGCCACCATAACTCCACTGTTCTCAATGTTTATTTCACATTACAACTAGCTTTGGTGCTGGGAAACTCTCAGGTATGGTTTACTAGAAATGGAAGAGGCAGTGCTTAGGTGTGTTTCTTTAGTTAGCAGAAACTACACTAGTCTCTCTCTCGACTCTAGTCCAGGTTGAGACAAAAGCTGAAAACAAAAAACGAGAAAGATAATAAAAGGATGATGCGCATTCTCTCTTCATCACGCCCCATAATTATACCATTTCTGAACAAATTACACTTGCAGCAATTAAAACATGAATTTTAATTTAGGAGCACAAAAATAAGAAAGAATGCTGAGGTAGCTTGCTTCCAGGACTTGAGTACTTCCTACATTAAGAAAGGCAATTTTTTAAGGAATATAAAACTGGGATATTTACCTGAGTTCTGCCCCTTCTGTACTCTTTCAAGGGCGTGTGTGGGTATGTGCGTGGGGGTGGGTGTGTTTTAAAAACAGGGCATAAATAGCTAAATGTCACTGATGTACATGAAGCCTTCTAATACACAAAGAGAAAAATGCCTGAGTAGGAAATCTGAAAAAATTCTGCCTGCCTTATTTGAATTTGTTCCCATTTTAATTTCTCCCACCATGTGTCAGGCTGCAAAAGGAAAAATGTTTTAATTGTTTGCACAGGAACTAATTATATAATAAATATAAGGTTTTCATTTTTCATGGAAAAGCAGCAAGAGGAGCCAATAAATTTTTAAAGCCTAATATTCTTCCCTACGCCTAATCATTCTTCAGATAAGGTGGAACTTTTTTGTAATTGGATGGCATCCCTAGAAAAATCTTGATTTTATAGCCAGAATATGCTCTCAGATGGAAATTCTCAAAGTGAACATTTAGACAGTAAGAACAACATAGAATTTCGTGGTGATATTTTATGAGTATTCTGGTTACAGAGGATTTGGTCTCAGATCTTCCTTTGGGTGCTTAGGTTCCTTTTATGTATTGTGTAGGCTTTGCTTACTTAAAAAGGCACCACTAGGATCATGTATTAAGCATCAGTACACATTATTTATTTGTTACCTTCATTTTATAGATAAGGAAGATCAGTCTCCGAAGCCTAGTATCACTCAGGAAGCAAATTACAGAACCAGGTGCTACGCTCTTAAACCTTCCAAAATGTTTATCCTTTGAAGGAAAGATATTACCTTCTATCAAACTCAGGGCTTGAATGATCATTTTTCCTGATTTAGGAATGTCATTTTAGAGCTTGAACCAATACCCACCTTTACTTCCTTCTTTTCTTCAATAAAATATTTTGAGCCCCTGGTGGAAGCCATTGGAATGACCCCGGGCATTTACCCAATAGTCACTTTCTTTTGTATACATTTCCCCCTCCTCATTGCAAAAGAACACATCTCTATAGGTGAGTTGAATACTTTAATATACATGTTAATACTCTAGAGTTTAAGGAGTAGAAAAAAAGAAACAAAAGATTGTAACCACTATTGCTCTAGCTAGGTGCACAGGACTGGCACCAACTCCTAGCCAAAGAACTAAAATGCGCTCTCAGGAAATAAACCTTGGTCTGGCCACTTTAGTCAACAACAAACTGTGCATCTGTTTACTAAATTTACAGAAGATGCTATAGGGAAATATATAAAAACTAGCTCTATTCCTTCATACAGCCTGTAAACCATTTAGGAAGAAAGATAGTTTTAAAAAATGCAACAGCACAAGATGAGGCAGCAGCCCAGACGGTGGTTTAGGAAAAGGAGCACTTGGCATGGGCTGGGGTAAACGGAATCACCAGGGAAGGCTTGATGACAAAGTAAGTCATCAGAGGAGAAAAGAACAAAAGAACATGATCAGGGAATAAGGAAGGTGTGGATGGTGTGTATAGAGGAGGTAGCAACGAGGGAGTTGGAAATGTCAGCTGGATGTTTAATCAAACCAAATATAGAGGGCATTTATCAGTTGTATCAGAATAAAATGCCATGATCTTAGGAAATAAAAATCATTCTCAAACTTCCTTCATATTTCACCTGGCTAGAACACAAGATTCCTCTGGCCTTAAAGAAGGGTTAGCTTACTACATGTTAAATGAAGACATGCCAACTCATGGCATCAACTCTGGGCTTAACGTCCTTGTTGTGTCAGGTGTTAACACTATCATTTAATTAATGCGCCATAAATGCATAGGCTTAGAATTTTAATTAATGTAGTACAGAATTTCGGATTAAGAAATTCAAAACCTGCTTTGCATACTGAAATATAATAAGAATTATAAAGATCTAGTTGCATTAATCTAATTCAGTGCAAATAATTTCAGGTGAAATTTCTATTTAAGTGTCAGAGAGAAAAATACTACCAAAATGACTGTAAGTGCCACAATGGACACGTAATTGGTACAGTATGAAAAAGTATTTCAGCAGCATAAAATAAATGTTCTAGAGCAAGCCTGCGCATAGCCACTTGTGGTTTCTACCGGGTTAGTTGCAAAGTGCTAGCATTTCTCTTAATGCTTAAAAATCCCCGTAGTCTGAAAAATTACACACTAAAACAGGGCCTAAACAGGGGCAGTGCAGGCCATTCAAAACCTGTGAACTTTGTCATAAAAAGACTAATAAAAACAGTTAACGATCCTAAATAAAAATACCAATGTTAAATTCTTTCATAAAAAACAATACTAAGTCAATATAGAACTTTTAAAAGGGTGAAGGTAGTTCAGTGAACAGGAGTGAAAGCAAAGACTGAGGCTTCTGGTTTATCAGGGCAGAGGTGACATGCACACGGGTGGGCAGAAACGACAACGAACTCTTCCGAGACAAAGCATCGGGCACCCCAGCCCGCAGGGAGCGCGGGGCGGGGGGTGAGGGGCGGGCGGCGGGCCTCGCAGGTCCGCGTCCCTTGCAGGTCCGCGTCCCTTGCCGCGCTCCTGGCCGCGCTGTCGTGCGCGGTGTTCAGCTGTTCCTACTTGGTGGCCTGGAACAACGTGCTGGGGCACGTTACGTATGACTCAACGTGAATGCTGTGTGACACGAACTCCCATACTCACCAACTGGTTATGACCTACGGCCGATAGACAAACAGCAGGCTTCCACATCCACGGATTCAACCAGCTGGGACTCAAACCAGAGTGTTGAATCCGCCGAAGTGGAACCCGCGGATACGGGTAAGGGGTGTGTGTGGCTGAACGACACCAGCTTACACAAGGGACTTGAGCATCCGCGGATTCCTTCCGCCGCCTGGAACCTGGAACCTCCCGCAGACACCAGGGGATGGCTCTGTATGTTATCAATATTAATTCTTCTTGGCAGTCAGACAGAAACTGGGTTTAAATTAAGGAAGAAAGTCCATTCTTCAGTCTTTTTTAGATCTCTATTTAAACGGTCAGTCTGTAATACATCTGTTTCCATGAAAAACTGAACAAATTTGAACTATAAAATTTTAGTTCTTTTTAGTGTCTCTCATTGTAATGTTTAATCTGTGAGGGCTATTTTTATTTTTTAACTCTTATTATGTAAAATTCCAAACATACAAGACAGTAGAGAGAACAATATAGTGACCCTCCATATACCTATCATATCAAAAATCATCATGGCCCACGGAAAGAGAAAGAAAAATACCGTATGGTATCATTTATATGTGGAATCTAAAAAAAAAAAATAAGGACACAAATGAACTACTTATTATTTATAACTTAGATGATTGATTTCTTGAATATGTGTAAGCACATTTGACTGTCCTTTATGATTGGATTACTGCATTCTGTTGATTCTTATTTTGTGGTTGGCTTTATTCCTTTGATAACTATGTAAATTTAAAAAGCTAAAGCTCTAATCTGGTCTTAGAAACAATGAACAGTACATATATGTAAGCTAAAAAAACATGTGCAGTATATTGTATACATGTATTTACATGCAATGTAATATATATGTGCAAACTGTTATAAATCTACCTAATAAAACTGAAAAAGGAAAAAAAAATGTGGCCTCTGATGTGGCCTCTCTGTTTAAAAAAAAATCATCATGGCCCATCTTATTTAATCTATACTGTCATCCATTTCTCTCCACTTTATTTGGAAGCAAATCCAAGCCTCGCCTATCATTTTATACGTAAACACTTCCGCATGTATGTGAGAGTCTTTTAAACCTATCTTTGCAGGGAAAGGAAATGGGCCAACCGTGCTTGAATGTGATAACCACATGAAAGCCTTAATTTTGGAATTTCTCCAACTCTATTGTGACAGCCTAAAAAACATCCCCGAAACTCCACAGGGAGCGCACATCAAGATTCTTGAGAAGTGCTCCTCCTGCCTGGTCTTTGGTTAGAGAGGCAGCAGGGCGATGTGGTCACCGGCAGGGACTCCTGTCAGCCTGCTTGGGTTCACTCTCCAGCTGCACCATTTACTTGCTGTGTGGCCTTGAGCTCGCTGCTTAGCCTCTGCGTGCCCTGGTTCTTCACGTGTGAAATGACGTTAATAACAGTACCTATTTCACAGAGCTACTCCGAGGAATAAATGAGTTAATGGACACAGGGTGCCTGGCATACAATAAGCACCGTGTGCTAGTGTTTTTATAACACGAAGGTGTAACAGTTATTATTAAAGACGAAAAACAAGGGAATAAATGCTTTTTTACTGATTGACTCAAGAATGCCAGAGTGCTGTGAGAAAGAGCCAGTAATGAGTTTCCAGGGATCAAGACAAGCAGATGTCAACAGAAGGCCTTCACAGTCCATCTGGGGCTCAGAGGAGCAGCAATCCAGCTTTGCTTTGTAATGGATTTTATTACCACAGGTTTTAAAAACTCGAAGTCAAACAAGTGAAATTTCAGAACAATAACAATAACAAAATATGTACATACCTTGGCATCAGCTTCCCAACACTGATGTAACAGTTCAGCAAAACTCTTGGGGCAACTGCTTGGAATGGTTAATCTCTGTAACAGGGAAAGAAAAAATAAACCAAAACAAAATGAAACACAAGGATTTACTCATTAAAGGAAGGAAATACTAATTGAAAGGTACAAAAGAATTAATTTAGTGGCATAAACAAGACATTAAATTTAAATCTTCCATTAATTAGCATATGGCAGGTGAGAATTCACATTTAGATTTGTATCTAATCTCTAAAGATACTTACAGGTTTCCTTGAAAGAGGAATCACAGTGGATGAAGAAATCAGGTTCGGCATAACAAATGTGACAACACATAGAATCAAACCTTAGAGAAACTATAGTGGGAGAGGAGCGAGTTGGAACATAAACACTAACTCTGAAACCACAAGTCTGTCACTGTATTGTTATAGGCAACTATGAAATATAAAAACAGGTCAGGTAACTAGGAAACCAGTTCAGCTTTGGCAATAGGTGTACAATTTCTGAGAACATCTTGAGCACAGACAATCATGGAGATAATTTTTAGAAAGTGTGCATTTTCTTTTTGGCAAATGAGACATTCTGAATGGATGACTCACTGTGGCTTAGTTTTGGCCAAACCCATAAACTGTAAGGACTTGACAGAACAAAGATTATAATGAGAGTATCAGTCCTGTTCTCACATTCTACAGCAGTGGTTCTCGCAGAACATGTAACGCCCCCAGAGGCAGTTTACAAAGTTACAGAGGCGTATTTGTTTTGAAGACTGGAGGGCTGCACCTGGAGCAGGTCAAGAATGCTGGCCACCCTTCAATATGTATAGTAAAGCCCTGATTAAGAATTCTCCTGCATTCATGAAAATGAATATACGTATGTATATGCATGACTGGGACACTGTGCTGTACACCAGAAATTGACACATAGTAGCTGTACTTTAATTTAAAAAAAAAAGAATTTTCCTGCATTCCACTAAACTTCAAATGTCCTGTGTATTCATGTAAATAAAACAAGCCAACAATGAGGTTTATAATGTTCTGATCCTAGAATCTTCTGATTTATAAATAAATACAGAGTATTCTTGAATATTTTTAAAATACGTTCAACTTTCTATGACTGCAACTACCAAATAGAATAAATCAAGCGCAGGTGCATTATTCATAACCTTACCAAGATTTTGGGAAAATGTTGCCTACGATAGTGTTGCTCATGGTACTCGAATCACTGATACAACCTAACTCTACTTTGCATTTGTTGCTGTTGAATTCTATTTATTCATACGTGCAAGCATCTAAAACTGTTCCATTATCACCTCTTCGGTTACCATGCATGAGCATATTTATGTTGCAATACGTATTTGATTAATTTTTTCCTTATATTACATTTAGAGCATTATGCTGACTTAAAATGCAGTGTGTGTAGGTAGGTGGCACTACCTCTGAATTTCATCTCAGGGAAGAAGAGGGAGCATTAACACAGTTGGTATAAAGAGTGCACTGGATGTGAGAACCACTGTACTAAGAAGGTTTATTCTACAGCATCATTTGCCAGGAAGTTTTGCAAATAAAACATTCAAAACTCAATTTAGCTGGATTTGGGGGAGGCTACGTGTAAAACTTGAAAAACAGTTGCCTTGGCAAGAAAACAGACAATCTATATTTGGAATTAAAATAGAAATAAACCAAAATAAATAAAACCTTAAAGCAAAGTAGGGAAAAAAAAAACCTCTCCAAGTTATGGGCTACACTAAGCATTTTTAAACTTCAAGTCTTGGCAATTGCATAGAATAGAGCAAGATGTAGTAAACGGTATTATATTTACTATAATGTGAACTGGAAATCTTCTGATGAAGGTCAAAAGGAAAATCAGTTTTTTTTGGGTTTTTTTTAGTGTAAAATGGCTGGGGATGGCAACTAATAAAAACAGAGAGTGACTGCAATTATGTGACTAAATGTACTCTGTGGGTAATGAAAAATAAGCTTTCATAAAGGGTAGCATTTCCAGAATAACTTTAGCACAACATCTTCCCAAGGACTGAAATGTAAAATAGATGAATATGGACATTGATCTTTTCTACTGTCTTTTCTTACTCAGACTTTTTAGATGCCACATCTGAGACATCATAAAAAAAGACAAAATTATTTAAATTATCTGACATGGTCAAATATCAGTTAAATCCTGACTCAGACACTTTAAGGGATTATTTTGGGGCACTAGAAAGTACTTTAAAAGAGAATCCAAAATACTTAAGTCTCAGTTACATAACTGTGGGCATTGCTAATGCATTAGAACATTCTGAAATAATCAGATATTAGCAGCAGATTTGTAACACTACTTACAACTTAAATATTTTAAAATAAAAGTTTCAAATTTGAAATTAAAATATTTCCCAATCACTAACTACTAAATCACTAAAAAAATGACATTTTTAAAAAAGATCACATTTTTTTGCACCATTTTCTACATAAGATTCAATAATTATTTTTTAAGTCAAGTTTGTTACCTTTCTCTAAAGTCCTTTTTCAAAGACAATGGATTAAGTTTTTGAGGATTTTTATGTTAATTAGGAACAGTAGTTTTGCTACTTAGAACAAAACACGTTTAAGTATTTATAAAGATAGAAATTATATTGCCAAAACATGCTGAATGACTACTAATTAATTTTTATGGAAATTACAAAGGCAGATACACATATCTGTAAGATTTTAAAAATGTATTGGTAATACCCTCTTAATTTCATGTCTTCTATACAGGTTCATTGTTTGCTTTGTAAAGTTCAACAGCAATTTATGGGTTCTAGTTTTAACAGGATTTAATAATAGGAAAAATTATTGTTTGAAGACCTTATTTCATTATTAAGGGTTTACAATCAAAGCCTTGAGATACCATTTTTAGAAAGTATTAATTTTCCTATAGATGCAGAAAGCAATCCTAAATGGTGAAACCAAACAAGGTCCGGAGTCTAGTTAAGAGTAATGTGTCAGTGTCAATTTTCTAGTTTGGGTATTATACCATACTTGTATCTCACCAGTGGGGGGATGGGGTGAAGGGTATACAGAATTCTTTGTAATATTTTTGTAACTTCCGATGAGTCGAGGATGACTAGCATTCTAGGGTGACTGGCTCACTTTTAAAATGTCTCCCTGAAAGTTTAAACATGTCATTCTTTATTTAAAAGATGGCTGTTTAAAAAAAACACTGTTTTCTCTTTTCAACTCAATAACCCAAGATATTCCAGAGTAAAAATAAATAAAGTAACAAAGTTGAAGGGATTTTTATGAATTATATTTAAGTCAAAGTCTCAATTTTATTATGAAATGAAATAAAACTTCGGGGATTATTTTCATGCTATCTCAACAGAATTTGTCTTGGGAATAAGTGCCTCCATTTATGAGGCAAAATGAAGACACTTGAATGACGACAATGGACACTATTTGAATTTAATTCCCATATTTTCGATGAATGAAATAAATATTGTACACAATGAGAACAGACAGATAAAAATCCTTGCAATACCCAGTTGTGCTTAAGTTCATTAGAAAGTCTAGAAAACTTATTTCACCATGTGGGTTTCTTTCCACTTACTATTATATTTAATAAATATAGCACGGGAGGCATATGAGTAGCCTCCAGCCACTATTAGTTGATCATCATATCACACTGTGGATAAAATGCTCTAGGAGACCCTGGGGAGACAGGAGTGGGTGGGGATGGCCTCCTCCTGTACCTTTCGAGGAGGTTCTGAAGGTTATTTATAGATGATTCCCAGCCCTCAAGTCAACTAACCCAAGGCAGCTTCTAAATTCATTTTTCTCTTCGGCTTTAAAAATCCTTGATGGATACTCCAGTGTTTTGAAAGTGCTTTAGATCTGCATCTGTTTGGCCATCCTTTAAATGAAATACTATTTTTAAGTATTAATTATTCTGTCTTAGACATTTCGGAGGGTTCAGTTAGCTTTAAAAAAAAACTTCCTTCTTGTTTATGTTGAAATGACGTAGAGGGGAAAAAAAGACATTGAGTGCTCTGCTCCAAAGTCAACAGAAGGTCAATAATTTTCTTCACTCTCATTTGTAAACCCAGAACCAAACATCCAACCATCTCTCTGGCAAAAGAAACAGAACAGAAACAAGGGGGTTCTCATATCATGAAAATAATCAGCTATCCTGTGTGTGAGGTCTGATTTCAGAGTATACCAGGAATAACCATCACATTTAATTAAAACAGAACAGCCTCTGTGAAACAATGAGTAAAGCACATTCTTCAATTTAACACCTTTTTGTTTTTCTTAAATTGGCAGCCCTCTCCCATCAAGTCCAGCTATCACGAACATTTCCTCCATTTGCAACGGCTCAGGAGGACAAATTAATAAGGTAACTGTGGATTATGTGATCTAAAATATGGAAACTTGGTTTCTCTCTGTCAATAGCCGCTTTTGGATAGATCCAGCTTGTTCCTGCACTCACATGGGGAGCAGATCAATCTCATTCTTTTAAAGAATTAAAAAGGGAATAGCTCTCCACATTCACCTTTTTGAAAATTATTTTCTCCTAAGGTTGCACCCTTACCTTTTGTGGAGGGCACGGATAACATGTGGAAATGAAGACGTTTTGCGAAATAAGGCTGTTTTGCAGCGTTGCAAAGACAACTGTGTGCTTCCATTACTCGATCTAAGTTCTCATAATACCTTGATATTGGATGCTTCATCCTTATGCTGAGAATTTCCATGGCTGTGCGTTTCAGTCACAATTTTAAACCTTTCAAAATGTAGTTGCTCTCTTTGATATGAATGTACCATGTCCTCTGATGTAGGCTCATAGGTCCAACTAACTGAAAGCCTCAATTTGTGGGAAGAAGAAAAGCGAGGCTGGGGACACAGCACAAACGGTGTTTACGCCACTGAAGTTCTTTTGAAATGGAAAGGCTCTGCATGAAGAAGGGAACAGTCCTGCCACTGCCTCGCCAATTCCAGTTAGGAGCTCATCTTCAATGTAGTGTTCAACGTAGGTGGCAAAACTGTAATTTTTCCCTTTTTTGAAACTATTTTTTCTTCCTTTATTTTTGAAATTCTCATCTAAGCGACAGTTTCTTGTACTATAGTGACTCCTGCTGGGAGAGGTAAGTTGAAGTAGCTGAAGGTCTCTTACAGATATATCAACTCCCGGACAGTAAAAAAGATGTCCTAAACGCAGGAGATGGAGTTAAACTGTTCCCCTACCTTGGACGCAATGGCTTCTTTCATCACTAAGAACAAACCCCTAGGTTTTACAATTGAGACTGAGAAACTAGTACAGTACTTGTACAATTTTTGATCTACAGCATCACGACGTGAAGCTGCAACAATTAGATGTAAAGGGTCCATTCATGAGGAATAACATCACTTTGACCCTTTGTGTTAGCTCCTACTGCTAATCTTTCCATAAGCGTGAACTTACTTTCAATTTGAAGAAGATGAAAAAGTCTTTTGCAAAACCCCAATACTGTTTTCTGATCTATGTACCTGAATGGAGAATCGTAGTCTTACCTCGTTTTTTTCCACTACAAGCCAAGCTACTTGTAATCCTTCCAAACCTTTAAAGGGGACCTCCCTTGTTAGCATCTCCCAGAGAACCTGGAACAAAAAGAAAGTGGAATTTTTATTCTTGTACTTTATATTTTTGGTATATTACTGAAACTTCATCTAATATTTAACTGTATCCAATTACCAGACACTACCAACTCCATCGATAGAAACTTGGGCAAAACGCATAGGACTCCTTCCATAAATTTTACATATGTATATTTTTTGTTGGCCTTTTTTTATATATATTTAAAAAATCTGATTTAGAAATTAGAACATCTAGAGCCAGGCTTAAAATTTTATGAAACCAATGAGCCTAAGGGATTTTACCTTGTAAATTAACAGAATTCTCAAGTATCCCCATAAATTAGATTTTATATTTTGTTAGTTAAAACTCTTTCCACCTTCAACCTCTGATAAATTTCTCTATAAGATAATAACTGGAAATTCAACCATATTTTCAAAGAGTCAAGGACAGTATCATTAAAAAAAAAAATTGAGCCCCAGATCGAAATCACTGGGTAAACCACTTACTCCACAATGGTAGGTACCTGCAAAAGTGTCACATTTAGATTTCGTGTTTTGGAGAAATCTCTCAAAATGAGTCAGTCTAAGGAATTCATTTTCATCCACCTATAACATAGTTTATTACACTATATTCTAAAATGTAATAAACACCTTATATACACATAAAGGCTGTGTGTATGTATATGTGCACATATGTGCAAATTTATGTGTGTGTTCATCTCTCTGCAGTCCCTGAGATTAGCATGCTTCATAAATCCGCACTGGAATATGCCCAAAGAAAGCAAACTGAGGCTGGGGATGCCGAAAACAGCCAATGACTTTGCACTCTCTTTAAACCCTGAGTAAAGGAGATTTTTACTCTCAGTTACTTTCTCTGTTTATACAAATGAGTATCTAAAGCTGAATCTACTGATACTTTGCGAAGTCCAAAAACAACTATAATTTTATCAATAATAAGCATAATAATAACCACCACTGTCTTTGACTGAGTGATTATGTTCCAGGGGATCTGCTATGCCCTTTACGTGTGTTATCATGAATAAGCTCAGTCCCACAGGTATCATTCTCACTGTATGGATGAGGAAACTAAGGCGTAAGGGAGTTACATAAACTTGCCCAAAGACACTCAGCTAACAAGTGGCAGAGCTAGGATATGAGCTTGCTGTCTCACCCTGCAGGTCCAGGTCTTAACCACAGGTAACCGCAGGGAGGGAAGAGCTGCTGCAGGAGAAAGGGAACAATGGGTCTTGCTTTAGGCATGGAGCCCTGCAGAAGCCAACGAACTCAGCACTTTTTATTTACATTTCTCTTGTTGTAAAAACAAAAACCCATTTCTAAATAAGAATGTAAGTTTAAGATATATTCCAGCAAAGCCTATAAATCTTTAGTTCTATATCAGAGCTCGGTCTTATTTGAGCCATAACATGTGAAATGAGTTCTGGCTAATACGAAGATAATTAGCAGGAAAATCAGGGAAATTGGCAGATGCTGCTCAAGCGAGAGAGAAAAAAAATCCACTGAAACCTCTTTGGGCTTTTAATCAAGTGTGTAAGGTACTTCTTTAGAAGAGCTACTGAATAATTCTATTTGAGTCACAGAAGTGATGAGGGAAAGGTAAGGGGCATCCCAGAAGGGGAGGAACCGAGCGAGCACTGCAAGTAAAGGAAGGGTGAGAACCGGAACAGGCGTGGGGTCGGGTCACCCTGACACAGGGTCCGCCCGCACAGGGGAGGGAGGGGACCGGGCGGCGAGAGGGCTGAGCAGGAAATGAAGCCCCTCCATCTGGTGTTGGGGTGGGGAGTGGGAGGAGTTTGAGAGCAAGGAAATGAACAGATCTGGCATTCCTAAGGAGGATGGCGAGAGTGACTTAACCGCTTAGGACCCTCAAACGTTCAGGTGAGCAGTCTGTGACCCCACTTGCAGAGTTTGGCCAGCCTGCCCACACGATACGCCACACGCACACCCACGCGAATGAAGACTGCCTGGATTTTGGGAGGTAAAATGCAAAACCAGGAGCTTGGGGAGTGACAGCAGAAAAAGATTTATGTCATTCCTTCTCCCAAAATATTTATCTGGAAGGCGTCCAAAATCTAGTAAGATCCGAGTTATATTTCTCTAAGAGTTCCAATGCTGGAAAAAATAAGACAGTTTCATTCGACTCCCTCTCTGTGTCTCTAAAGAGCTTCCTACAGTGGAGGGAGCCACTCCAGGGACAGGAAACTGTCGGGGCTGATGTCCTTAACTGCTGGGTTCTGAAGGCCAAGTCAGGTCTTTAACGTAATTCTAGGATAAGCACATTTCATGATTTCCTATTGTTTATTCGCCAGATTCAGAAATGTATCAAAAAGTCAGTGGCATGAGATAGGACAACAGCTTTTTCTACTGAACAAAATGACATTTGGCACAAAAAAGTAACATTGTTGAGGAAGTCACCTGAGGTCTAAAGGCATCTAAAACTGTGCCTGAAGATATCAGTTATGGGGCTGCAGGCCAAACATGATTGTGATCTGTCACCTTGAAAATATTTTCCAGCTCATTTTATATTGAGACGTCCTCACGTTTAAACTGCTCGCAAGGAAAATTTCTATTTTCAGTTTGCAGAAGAGAAACTTGGACAAGGCCGTGTACTCTTCCTGCCTTTTCTTCTACAAACAATGGGAAGCCATCACCTGAGCCGGGCTGGTTCTGGAACAGGGCTCACAGACAAGCGAGGCGGCGGGCTCTTTCTTAAGCCACTCTATTTTCAAAAGCCGGTTTTGGCTGAGACGCGTCTAAGGAGGTAATCCTTTCTGCATTGCCATTAGGAGAGCTTTGTTTCTAAAGAGTGGCAAGGCCTTGTGTTCTCAGAAGGCTTATTCTTTTAATGATTTTTGCTTTCCTGATGTCTTTTCTTTTTTGTCGCTAATATCCTAAACACTCCTGGTTTGGCCCTTCAGGAGAAATCATCAGAAGGGGACAGAAAAATCTCATTCCTTTAAAATAGAAACAATTGCCTGCCTAGCGAAGTTTACCAGCACAGAAGCAAGGATCACAAGATCCATTTCTGGCACTTCACCAGCACATTTATTTTAAGGCTGTGCAAGGCTGGCTAGTCTTGCCGTGTGTTAAGAAGAAACACAGGTTAATTAAGCTGGGGAGGGCTAGGGACTTTGAGACTGTTAAGAGCTAAATTCTTACAGCAAGTCTGAGAAAGAAAAATAAAAAGCAAAAATATATTGGGTTTTTTTGGGGGGAGTGGGTTTCAGAACCATCTCTATGTGACTGCTATGTGTGTGGGAGGCTCAACTAACAGAAAAGACTTTTAATGAACAATGAGATGTTTTATACAAACAGATATACCTGACATGAGTCCTGGGTATCCACCTATTTTGAAAGGACTTGTCAAAAATTCTAACAACCACACTGTTTTCCTAGATCGATACCATTTTTAAAGTTTATGGACTACAAACTTCTAAAACTATCATGGCCCCTACCTTAACAACTGTCCTCTCCTGGCTCTTTTTGGGAATACCTACTTTGGGCATGTAATGCTTTCTTCATTTTAAAAATATTTGTGACTTATTAAACAAAAAGCCTCGGTAAAGCAAGCTGTGTACTTTTTCTTTCACTAATGGTGTTAATTTAGAATAGAATGGGAAGGAGTCAGAATTAAATAAAATCCTGATTTGTCATTTATATCTAAATTAGCATATGTGCACGCTTCTGTGCGGAATTCTGCTGATGCAGCTACGGGGTAAGAATAGCCAGCAATCCTAGTAAACCTCCCTAAGATAGTAAAAGAGCAGACGCTGTTTTAAAACTAACAGGGTCACTGAGAAGGCATTTCTTTTTTTTTTCACCAGTTCAAAGAAGACCTACACAGGAGTGTTGAGTTGATATTTAAAAGCATGTGACTGAGGCAAACAGGTTCTGAAGAGCGACTTCGGGTATGTAAATACTGAGCCCCACTGGAAATGTTCAGCGACTGGCTGTAAAGTTTGCTTTTACGTTAAATTACTTGATAGACTGATTTGTCAATAATCATTTGTTAATCTCTCAAAACAAAAGCAGAGTCAGTAAACAAACAGACAAAAAATCTAATTTGCAAAGGGAAGGGTTCAAGACCCAGCTGCTGAGAAGTAGTGAGCAGGCACCTGAAGGAAAAGGTTTTTAATAAAATAAGCTGAATGTCTGCAGGTTCAGAAATGTTCATTCAAACTACGTTTAAACATGGGGGCGGGTCCACGTGGATTATAAAAGGATACAGGAAGGAAAGACCCTAAGCTCCACGAACAAAGCCACTTCTTAACTTTGAGAGTTTACACGTGAAAAGGCATTGGTTCCCGGTCACCAGAATCAAAATTCCATTTCAGCTAAGGAAGAGCAGGTGGGTGCATTTCAACAAAGTCCCTGGCACCTGTACGGTTTTGGAAGAAGGCAGTGTGACGTGTGTTTTCATAAACGAGACAACACTGAAACCGAAAGTTCACTCTACACATGACTCACAGTCGTGCCTTTCTGGTCAAAAATGTCTGTGATAGGGAAATCCCAAGACTTGGGAAGAATTTTAAAAGTAAAAGCATTGTGTGAGAACTTGCAGAGTGCTAAAATGAGCCTCAAAAGCCGCCCGCTTCATATAGATGTGCAAAAGAATTAAAAAATACCCTAATTATCTAAATATGTTTATATATATTTATATACACGTGCAGGCGGAGGACAGAGAGCTGTGGTCTCCTGTCGAAGCACGAGAAACTGCTCTCCAGCCGTGTCGCTGGTCTTCCAATCCCTCCTGTTCCAGAGGGGTCTCAAACGACCACCCGCTACAGGCTGCAGAGTGGTTTTAACAGTTTTAAAGGGTTGTAAAAAAAAACGAAAGACTCTGTAACAGAGACGATAAGTGGCCCTCACAGTCTATTTACTATCTGGTACTATTTACAGAAAAAAGGTTGCTGGCTCCTGGTTCCACAGGATAAAATGGGACAATGGTTTCAAGAAGCGGGCAAAGTAAAAGTTCAGTTTCCCCAAGTTGGTGTCTAGCACAATGCCTTACACAATAAATAGATCTTTGCTTAAAAACGAAGGAACATAACTTCATAAGAAGAAATAATCTCACACAAAGTCTTAAATTGCAACAAATGCTCTCATTTTTAGACTCCCCAGCAGATAATTTGTAGGATGGTTGGAAGGTAGTAAGTTTTGACATACAGGACCAGCTTTAGAATGTATTTCTTTAGGAACTTGTGGGTTTTTTGTAGCCAACAAAATTGACACCGTATTAACTTGCTATACAAAAGATGTAGTTTGATTTAGAAAAAGCTAGCTAACTGAAACCAGCGGGAAACGTGGGTAATGAGGTCAGCAGTAAATACATAGGGACTGATGAACCCTAGAGAAAAAGATCTGGGTTTGACAGTGCTGGTCTCCTCCTGTACCATCAGCTATTACCTTCAGTTGAAAACACAGAAGTTCAGGAAGAAGAGGCATGTTGATTTGGTCTAAAGTTAGACTGTTTCTTTCCCCATTACTATGAAAATGTCCCTTTAAGAAGTAATAATACAAATAGACAGGCAGTATGACTGGGAGATGAGATGCCAAGACAGGAGTTCCAAACACCACTTGGTACGTTTAAAAGGATATACAGCATCTTTAGGGATTTAAAAAAAAAAAACTTATCCTCAAAAAAGGGCAACAAATGAATTCCTTCCTCCACCAAAAAACCACTCTGACCACTTTCCCCGCCCTCTACTGCCCCACTGCCCCCATTTCTTTCTCTCTGCTAATTCAGATATAACACATTCCTTAAGAATGATCCATCTCAAAACTCCTCCTCCAGAAGCTTCTGCTCCTTCACTGATTCATTCCTGTGGTCTTTATTCCTTGAATATCCTACCCCTCAACCCCCACATTATTCTATTTTTGCAGCTGTTGCTCTGCTGTTATTCTTACGTGAGACCTCAGATTCATGTGTCAGTAGCCACTACTTTAGATGACTTGCAGCAAACATGGGCAAGGCCACGTGCTAACCAGTAAGTCCATTTTTTTCTGTACTTTCCACTCACCAATCAGTTTAATAGTTGACACTCAAAAATTTCCCATTGATAAAAAAAAATTTCCCATTAATTAACTCATTTGGCAGATCTACTGGTGGTTTTTGAGGAACTCATTACAATGAAGTCCTGTTCCAAATGATCCACGTTTCTACTGACTTAACAGAGATATTCTCCAGTTACCTGTCCACCCAGGAAAGCACACTCCACAGGAGGGCATCAGGCCCAACACTATTTTAGGTTCCATCCAACTTGCTTCTTGGAAATGGCGTTGGTTTCTTCTCTACACAGGACAAAATAACTCAGACGCATAAAAGGGATCAAAGTAAACATTCTAGTAATAGAAAGTGTTCTCTCTGTTGCCACTGGTCTCGGCATTCCACCAGGAACAGCATCATTGTCTTAAACCTGTGTTCAGTTGTGTCCTGCTTCTGTAGGGTGTCTGCTTTTTGTATTTCCTTTAGCAATAAAAAATGAGAAATGAACTCACCACACCATAGGAATATGTGTCACAAGTTTCAGACACAGGGAGACTTTGGATGACCTCTGGCGCCATCCACGGGAAAGTTCCAACCAAGGACATGTGTGTTGTATGGTTATGGAACCGGGAGGCACCAAAATCACAGATCTGAGAAAAGAGAAACAGGTATCAACTTTCTACTTATTGCTTAATAAAAGAGTTATTAGTCACAAACCTACGCCTGAAATTAACAAATTAAAAAAAAATTAAAACAAGTAGTCCTACCTTCAGCACTCCATCAGCAGCTATAACAACTAAAAGAAAGAAAAGATAAATTATGAAAATCATCAGAGTTGTCACATACTGAAAAAAATCATAAGCCTGTATTTCTGTCTTTCATATGGCATTATGAAAGGTAAAATCAAAGTATTTACTGCATCGAGGATTTTGCAAAAAGGAGCTGACATTAAAACAAAAATTAAAAAAAAACTAATTCCATAAGGTGCTGATTAAAAAGGCTTCAAGACGCTGATTTAAATCAAATGTAGTACGGTCCAGTGAATAAGGCATAGATTAGCAGTAGTCAAGAGAACCAAGTTTTTACTTGGGTTCTGCCACTAGATTGTCACTGTGATACTGAGGAAGTCATCAGCATTATCACTTCATGGTATATGTGGTTTTTCCTCCCAGATGAAGAGTAGTTTTCTTGAAGGCAGAGGTAACATTCATTTATTTACTTATTCATGCATCCATTCACTTAACACATATTTGCTGAGCATATACTGTGGGCAAGGCCATGTACCACCTTCCAACAGAGGACGATGAGCAAGTCCGGCATTGTCTCTGCTCTCATGGAGCTTACAGTCTAATGGTAAAGACAATGACACAAACACCTGTAATAAAGTGGGATATGTTCTGTGATGAGAGACATGGAGATTGCCATAAAACCAAAGGGCAGTCTAAGGAGTCTGTGTGTAAGGAGGTCAGAAGAAGTTTCCTGGAAGAAATGAAGCTATGCGAAGACCTGAAGAACAAATCCCCGGTAACCAGAAAGAGGAGGACTCAGGGAGGAAAGCAGTTTTCTAGGCAGAAGAGCGAGCTTGTGCAGAAGGTCAGGAGCAGAGGAAAAGGCACACGATTTTCGGAAAGGATGGGCCAGGTCCAGCAGAGCCTTTGTCAGAGATGGAAAGCCAATGAATGATTTTAAGTGGAAGAATGAAATGGTCAAATGTGCAGAGGGGAACAGAACGCAGGCAAGGACATCACTGTGTGCCAGTGTTGTGGTCCGAGAGAGAGATGAGGATGCCTGTGCTAAGACTGTGGCAAAGGACAGCAGAAAAGTGGGCAGAGCCAAGAAACATAAAGCAGAATCAGCTGGGCTTGGATAAGTGGCTGGGGGGGAGGGGGGGAGCCAAAGAGGACATAAAGAGGCCATACAGTGTAATGGTTAGAACAGGAACTCTGCAATCAAACTGTAATTCCTTTTTATTTAACTTCTGGCTTAGGCCACTCACTGAGAAAGGGGATGTAGGGAAAATTTTTTAGGGAGTAGGGAGAAGATGGAAAGATCAATTTGGACACAATACATTTTAGGGTTATACGAAAATACCTATGTGAATTTGTTCAATAAGCAAATAGATACACAGTTTTGAAGTTGAGATCTACTTGGGAATGTTAAGATATAGGTCGGGCTTTTCTGGGAGTGAGCAAATAAGAGGATAAGAGGGGAGGAGGCCAAGGACAGAACCCTGAAGAAATGTTTCTGGCATTCCTTTATAAGCCACACAGTGCCTTGAACATGGTAGGTTATCAATACTTATTAGCTGTTTATTAGCTGATTATCAATACTTATTAGCTGTTTCTAATGTAAGTGGGGAAAATAATCTTTGCATGATCTAATACACAGAAACAGCCTAAGAGTAGATCTGATACTATATATAGTAAGCTATACATTTTTCAAATAGAGATTTAAATATTGTTAATACTATATTAAGTTATTTAAAAAATATCTCTATTACTTTCTTCTCATTGAAAGATTAATAAGTGTTCATTAAAGAATCTGCATTATAAAAATATATAACTTAGAAAATGAAAGTCCTATTATTCCCTCTCTCCTCCTCCCCAAAATTCCTAAAAGTTTGACCTATACTGTTTTAAGTGTGTGTGTTTTCTGATCAAGTAACTATGCAAACTGTAATTTTTGAAAATGGGAACACAAATATTCTCCATTGCTAGCTTTCACAATGACAGCCTGGATAATTTAACCATTTCCTTTCAAGGGAGATTTAGGATATACCAATAAAACAGATTAAGAGGAGAGAAGCTAAACAACTTATTTAAATTGAAATTCTGAGCGTGAACTGAAAATTTACAAAGTCATAAAACTCTTGAGACTTCCTACTAGATTCTAGATTATTTCGTAATGACTTCCTGTTAGCCAATACACATTAAAAGTATTTAGCTCCAGGAAGCTTATGTCTAAGAAGAGCCAGGGTCAGGGTTGGGGGGTCCAACCTGGACTGTCGTGAGTGGCAGCTGCCAACAACTTCCCTTTCTCCACCCCAACAAATGTCGCGGTCCTGGACAGCTGGTCGATTCCCTAGTCCCCTTCCCCCGCAGGCCAGGACTACTCATTCTAAGGATCACACTACTAGTTTTTATCCATTTTAACTGCAGTGATTTAAAGGTTTTCCAAAAACAAATAGTTCTCCTCTTCCATACTGAGATGAATCACTTAGAAAGCATGTAAATAATTAAAGTATGTAAATGAACTGATAGCAAGATTTTTTTTTTTAACTAGAAAACTGTGGGTGCTGGCTAGCTAAATAATCCCACTGGCTTTCTCCGTGAACCTTCGAATGATGTAATGGAAGAAGCATTCTGTTACCACTCCTACTTGAAGGTATCATCTAATCCTGCAAAGTCATTTAAAAGTGCTCACTCTCCAAATTATACAATACAGGATCCTAGATAAACTTTAGGAAGTAGAGAAGAAGAGAAAGAAGAAAAAGAAAGCTCTTACTTTTCAGACTCATGCTGATCATTTTTGGGCACTCCTCCAGGTACTATGAGTGGCATAAAATATTTACACCAAATAATTCAGGAGTAACAAGAACAAAACTCAAACTGCTAGCACAGGGAGCAATCTAAAAATAGAAATACACAACTCTGTGCTTTGATCCAGCAACCCCTCTTTTAGAAAATGATTCTAGAGAAATAATTAGGGATGTGTTGAAAACTTTTACTGAAAAGTATGAAGCTCAACGTTTCTTATCATAGGGAAAAAATGTAAACAACCCAAGTGTCCACATTCTCTGCTATTTATACAGTGGAATACCATGCAGCCTCTTGAAAGAATATGCAGAATTTTGACATTTATTAATAGTGGAAAGATTTCCATGGTACCAGCAGTGAGTCGAAATAGCAGGTTACAAAAGATGTGGAAAGCATGATGCTTATTTCTATACAAAGGTGCACATATTTTATAATAAAACAGGTAAAATAAAAACATGTGACTACATTACCATTTCTTGACTTGAGATCTCTGTGAATCACCTTGACTGGCGCCTCCATATGTAAATAGTGCATTCCTGTCATACAAGAAGGAAGAAAGGCCTATTAATATAATTTTGCAACACTGTATCAGTATTCCCTTTTAATTTCATATTTTGCAAAGGATTTAACAGCAAAAAGTAAATTCATGTGTTCTGTTCTCCCAAGATGGATAAAATAGAGACAGGATATATCTACACTAGGAAAATTTATATGCTAAGGAAAATGTATGTGCTTTAATCTCTTAGAAGTTGGAATTTGATCATGGGTAGAGCTAGCTTCTTAACAATATCCATAAAGGACACCTTAATTTTCTGGAGTCTGCACGAAAATAGCACAGATACCAGCAGAAGAAGTACTCCAGTGACGAAAGTATTCCACCAGCAACTACCTTCTAACTCAGCCAGAGCTCTGACCTCAAATTTCAGTTTTCCTTTGCATGTCTGCAGTTATCCAGTGCAGGCTGGTTTATTTTCTCGGTACTCTGTCCAATAAGACCCTGGGAGTAGAGGTCGTGTAGAGGTGGGGAGAACCAGTTGGATTCATTAGTTGTGGCTAGTAAAGGATTTTGTGATCCTCAGAAAGAAAAATATACAGTAGCTACAAAATATTTTATTCTTTTTTACAAGGATAAATCTGTGCCATAATCTATATTTAAATACATTCTAAAATGCTCTACAATATATTGAGAATGCAAATCAAGTTACTTCAGTGAACTGGATGTATATAAACTAAGTAGAGTTTAATTATTTTGAATTAAAAATTATACTTTAAAAGACACATATTTCACAGTTACCCCCTTAGTAGTATTTAACTCTTTCCCTGTATTTATGTTGTCTACCCCCTCAGAATAAAGAAAAAAACATTTTCTACTGTATATAGAAAATTTCAGTTTTATGCAGGCTAATTTTAAAAATAATCTATTATTTTCTACTATTCTGATTATTACATATATATAGAAGAATCATGAAAGAATAAAGAACATTTTTTTAAAATTTTAAACTCTTTACATATAAAGATACTACTGAGAAGAGTCAACAAAAGTGTTAGTAATTCAAATTACTAATTAAACAAGATGTACCTGGAATGAAGGAAATCTTTCTTCTAATGTTAAGTTCTACATATTCCAAACAGTGAAAATCAGTACTAACTTGGGTAACTTTTAATAATTTTTATGACTGAATTTCATAGTTACTTGTTTCTTGCTTCAAGAACAAAATTCCTGAATAATTTTTCAGGTGGAAACTGCTTAATTACTATTAGAGGTAGAGCTAGATAGTTTCTACATTTGCTGATAACAAAGAATTACAAAAAAACACTCAAGTTCAAAACCTTTAAATATAGGTACTTTTTCTTCCTCATGGCAGATATTATGGGAAAAAGTACCATGAATTATTTGTGTTTAACGTACAGTATACGTTTATAGAATATTTATTGTATATAAACACAGTTGTAATCACAGTCATCGAAATTCTATTTAATATGTTTTAACAGAGCCATCTACAATTCTGCCTTATTTTTATTGCAAAAAATTAAGAAGGCTGAAAAACATCTTCTTCAATTTTAAGATTCAGGGTTTCCTAGAAAAGACTTGACACGTGTCACTTTAGGGAGACCTGGAATCAGTGATGACCCTTTGGGGACTGGGTCCAAGTTTATTTGCTTTAATTGTTCCTCTTCCACACTGCTGACTGACTTGTAGCAATTTCAGATGTACTAGCTGACCCACCCTCTTCCCATCCAGAAAGAAGAGAATCTTTTTTTGCCTTTGAGGAGGTATTCTCTCAGCAGTGATGTTAAGCAATGCCTATTTCAAAAGGCATGAATCAACTCTTATTTGAAATGAATTATTCATTCTTTGATTTCTCAACATCTTGTTGCTTCAGTGGCTTCAATCATGGTCAAACCGAAGGGCACAGCTGAATTCAAAACAGAATCAACAAAAATCAAGCCTTCCCATTTTATCTCCATAGCTTTATCAGAGAGGGTTGAAGTCATTCCGAAAGCACTGATTTCCTCTTCCTTTCATGGGCCATTTTAAATACCAAGCATTACTTGTGACTATAAATAAACAACTCTTCTCTGCCTCACTCTTCTCACCTGTGTTTGGCCTAACACGTTAGAACTTGTCTTTCAGATTAATTCATCAGCCACCCATGGCCCACTCCCATTTTCTCCATCCCTATTTTTTTACCTCTAACTCCAGTTTGCTATTTAGGCCTGTTCCTTCTCTCCCTTGACCTTCTGATACAGAGTGCCAGGGCTCTTGAGAAACCCCAGGAATGACTGAGCTGATCTGGAGCCAAAGGACTTGCCCCTCAGACACGGACTGTTGCAGGCAAAGGCGCCGGGAGGGATGAGGTTTACAGGCTGGGGTGGGCCGGGGAAGCTTCAGCAGAGTGTGCACAGCAGGAAGCAGAGGGGCTGGTGTCAGTTGATTTGTTTGCTGTCTATCCATCCTAAGTGCCATTAAGTAATAAGATGGGTGTAATTGGCTGAGCACCCTAAATGCAAATGTCTGTAAGGGGAAGTGCTTTAAGTCAAGGACTGCTTGTATATGTATTTACATTTGTGTAAGTGTATTTCCACAATGCTTCAGGCAGTTTCCACTAATAGCACATTACCCTGCTTACAAACAGGTGGCCCCTGTGTACTAGTGACATGCAGAGAAGTAGCTGTGATGTTACATGAAAATGTCCTGACGAATGTGAAATTTTAAGGTTGATTTGAGACATCTGATGCATGAATACACAATTAAGTTAATTAACACACCCAAAGCCTTAAGTACACCATCCTAAACATAGAGCTTATTATTCTCATAAGGTAATGAAGTATCACTCAAGCAGCAGCATTTGGCATGAAACTTTTTCCTTTTTTAATTTTCATTTTCTCTTTCCCTATGTGAAAAATTTGTCAGGTGTTGATGAAACTTAAATCAGACAAGATAATTCCCCAAAGGAAAGACTATTACCTTGGGAAGTCCCTGTATGACTTCCCAGTGAAAGCAAAGTATGTGTTGCTCTCCTTACTGAGTGCTAAATATCCTTTCATTTGCTTTGTCAAGGGATGCCTGTAGAGATCAGAGCAGCAAAATGCAACGTAGTTAATTGCCCCAGTAAAATCTGGACACACTTGCTCTCTAGGGGTTGCTAAAATACAAACGTAACTATCAGCATTCACAATTTAGATTAAGTTGTTTCCAAAGCAACTTTGACAGTTATAAATAAAACTCAGAAACATTCACTTAGGAAAATGGAAAATAAAAAGATAAAAATAAATGGAATTTAAATTGCTTTAGAGAGCATTCGTCTATGCAGGAATTTATGAGGGAAAAAAGAACTAGGCACCTTGTTTAGGGATTTTGTGTATTAAAAACATTTCATTTCCAAGGCTGATTTCCAAGTTTACATTAAAATATGAAATCTAAATTGCTTTTAAATGGCAGAGCTAATAAAAAAATGTTTTTTAAGTGGTTACTATTTTTAGCTATTACATATATACAAAACGAGTAGAACTAATTCTGCAATAAGTCATGTTTTATGGATACTACATCTAAGTACAGACTTGCAGAACAAGAGAATTATGACCGTCCCGCCTAAGGTATCCAGCGAGCTGGTCAATACAATGTCACAAAATGTGGCAAAAATGGCTGCCCTGGAGCCACTGATTTTGTTGGAACTTGTTTTTTTGGTAAAGAAATAAAGTGAGGAAAGGTAAAACAGAAAAGGAACGCAGGAGTGGAAAAGCAACGACCTAAAATATTACATGCACAATGAATTGCAGAATTCTTGCTACTTTTGGTCTCTGAAAAAAGAACATCTTAAGACACAGAATAACAAATCTTCTGACTTGAATCACCATGTCAGGATGGAGAAAATGTTCTCCAATTCTGTAAGAAAACGTGAAGCATTACCTTTGGCTACATCAGTGGCCCAGGTCATAATATGTTCCATGTCCATCTCTTCACTTCTGTTACTGTTAATGTAATCATAGAGTGATCCCAGAGAAGCATATTCTATTTTCAAAGGAAAGATAAGCATATAATTAATACCAAGGTACATTTCAGAAATAAGACTACATAGTTTCATTGGGAAAAACATGTTAAAGAATTTAACAAAGGACGTTATTAAGAGCTTGTAAAAATTATTTCATGCTATGGTTTCTAAAAGTTAATATCATTCTGGAAAGAAATCTGTCAAGGACAAGACTACTAACAGAATGAATAATAAGACTTCAAAAGCTATTTAGATGGAATTGAACACAAAGAGGTGCTGCAAGACTATTTGAAACAAAGGCAGGCATGGATACAGGTATTTCTTAAGAAATTGTTATTCTTATGAGGTAGATAAGATTAGACATGTAAGTCAGAGGGTTTATGGGACAATGTAAACACATCAGTATCTGTCGTATCAGGATTTAGAAGAAGCTCATAAATTTTAAGCACAAAAGGCAAAAAAGTGAGAAAATTCCTTTAAAAGTGGCTTTGAGATACAAATTACACATCATATAATTCATCTACTATAAGTGCACAATTTAACAATTTGTAGTAAACTCACAGAGTTGGGCAACCACAAGCACAACCCAATTTTAGAACCTTTCCATGATGCGAACAATTCCATTATGCCCATTTACAGTGAAATCACCACTCTCAACTCCAGTCCTACGATCAGTTTTCTCGCTCTACAAATGTGCCTCTTCAGATATTTCACATAAATGGAACCATACAATATGCAGCCTTCATGTCTAACTTCCTTCTCTTCATATAATGTTTCCAAGACTCATTCATACTGTAGCATGTGTCAGTATTTCATTCTTTTCTACTGCTGAATAATATTACATTGTGTGGATTTACCACATTTGGTTTATTCGTTCACTGGCTGATAGACATTTGGATAGTTCCCAGTTTGGGTTATTATGAACAATGCTCCTATGAACACTTGTGTTCATGTCTTTGTGTGGAAATACATTTTCCTTTCTCCTGGGTAGATTCCTAGGAGTGGAATTGCTGAAGCACAAGTAACGTGTATGTTTAACTTTTTTTTTTTAATTCATTATGTTTTACTGTATTTTCCAAGATGCCTTTACAATGAGAACACACTGACTTTAAAATAATGAAAACATTACTTTAAAAAATGTACAACATGACAGTAAATAGCCTAGAGAACAATGAAAAGCCCTGAAATAGAGTTCAGAATGTTTTATACAACGACATAAAAGCACGCTAGGAAATTTTGTATGTTGAACAATAGTCTCTGTTTCAACAAATGCAAAAAAAGAATTACTGTAGCAAGTGATGAATTAATACAAATTTAATTGGTAAAATTATGTGTACTTGAGATAAAACTGAGAAAATAAAAACGCCCTTTTGCTTCAGATAATTGTCAAGTTTAAAATGGAAAAAACAGGAAGGATGTTGGGTGCATGTGTTAATTCAAATGGTCTATTATTTCACCTGTCTAGCAAGAATGAGGAATGAGGTAATGTAGGCATGCTTCACAGTGCCTAGATTTTTGACCATGAAAGCACTGGAGCATCCGTAGGTAACAGTCCAGTTACTTAATTCGTTAACTGCTTATAGTATTAACCTGGTGAGTAGTAGTGAGAGGAACAGGTTTGGATTGAGCCCTGCTATGGCTGCTGAAGTGTATGTTTAACTTTTTAAGAAACTGTCAAACTGCTTTCCAAGGCAGTTATGCCATTTTATATTCCCACCAGCAATCTATGAGGGTTTCAGTTTCTCCACACCCTTGTCAACACTTAGTATTGTCTGCATTTTTGATTACAGCCATTTTAGTGGGTGTAATCTAGTGATATCTCATATTTTTCATTTGCATTTTCCTAGTGAGTAATAAAGTTGGCATCTTTTCATGTGCCTATTAACCCCTTGTATATATTTTCAGGAAAAATGTCTATTCAAATCGTTTACTCATTCTTATTAATCCTGAACTCTAAGAACTCCTTGCTTATTCTGAATACAAGACCTTTATCAGATTTGTGATTTGTAAATATCTTCTTCCAGTCTGTAACTTGTTTCTTCATTCTCTTAACAGTATCTTTTAAAGAATAGAAATTCTTAATTTTGATGAAGTTGAATTTATCCATTTTTCTTTTATAGACTGTTTTTGGTGTCATGTTTAAGAACTCCTTGCCTAAGCCAAATGTATGAAGATCTTCTTCTATTCTTTCTTTTGGAGTTTTTAAAGTTTTAGCTCTTAAACATAGGTCTGTGATCCATTTTGAGTTTATTTTTGTGTGTGGTTTGAGGTGAGGGTCTAAGTTTTTCATTTTTGTTTTTCTTTTCTTTTCTTTCTTTCTTTTTTTTTTGCATGTGGAGTTCTAATTTTCCCAGCACAGCTTATTAAAAAGACTATCCTTTACCCACTGAATTCTCTTGGCACTTTTGCTGAAAATCAATTGATGATCAATGTAAGGTTTTTTTTCCCTAAATTCTTAATTTTGTTCCATAGATCCATATGCCTGTCCCTGTGCTAATATTGCAGTATGCTGACTACTGCAGATTTATAATAAGTTTTGAAATGAGGCAAAGTCCCCAAATTTAAATCTTTCTTAAAACTGGTTCAGCTATTCTAGGTCTTCTGCATTTCTGTGTGAATTTTAGGCTCACCTTGTCAATTTCTTACAAAAAAGTCTGCTGAGATTTAGATAGGAATTGTTTTGAATTGGTAGATCAATCTGGGGAGAACTGCTGTTTTAACAACATTGAGACTTCCAAACTATGACCACGTAATGTCTCTCCATTTATTTAGATCTTTATTTTCTCTCTGTACGTTTCATTGTGTAAGTCTTATACTTTTTATATTAAATTTATACCCAAATATTTTATTCTTTTTGATAGTACTGTGAATGTTGTTTTTTAATTTCATTTTTAGACTATGCATTACCAGTATATAGAAATACAACTGACTTTTTTGTATTGATCTTGGATCCCTGTGACCTTGCTTAACATGTTTATTATTAGTTTTGGTAGTTTTTTGGTGGATTCCTGGGATCTCCTGACTCTTATAGAATCATGTCATATGAGACAGTTTTACTTCTTCCTTTCCAGTCCGATGCCTCTTATTTTCTTGCCTGATTACACTAGAACCTCCAGTACAATGTAGAGTAGATGTGGCAAGAGCAGAACCTCACTGTTTTATGCCTAAGCTTAGGGGAAAAACATTCAATTTTTCACTGGTAAGTATACTAATAGCTGTGGGTTTTTGTAAATGCTATTTATTAGGTTGAGAAAATTCCCTTCTATTTCTAGTCTGTTGAGATTTCTTACTATAAATGGGTGTTGTAATATGTCAAATGGTTTTTGTCTTTTATTCTATTATCTATTATGGTGGTTTACATTAATTGATTTCAAATGTTAAATCAACCTTGCATTTCTGGGACAAATTTCATTTTGTTGTGGTGTATAATCCTTTTTATCTGTGGCTGGATTCAGTTTGCTAATATGTATTCAAGGGTTTTTGCAACTATGTTCAGGAGGGATACTGGTTTGTAGCTTTATTATGTTTTTGTCTGGCTTTGGTATTAGGATAATACTGGCCTCACAGAATGAGTTGGTATGCGTTCCTTCTTCTACTTTTTGGAAAGAGTATAGGAAGGACTGGTACTATTTTTTTCTATAGACATTTGATAGAATTCACCAGTGAAATCATCTGGGTCTGGGCTTTTCATTATGAAAATGTTTTAAATTATAAATTCAAATTTCTTTACTAATAGGTCTGGTCAGACATTACATCTAGATTGTCTAATTTGTTGGCATAAAGTTGGTCATGACATTCCCTTATAATCCTTTTAAACTTCTGTAGGGACCATGGTGCCATCCTCTCCTTCATTCCTGATTTTGCTTATTTGCATTTTCTGTTTTGTTGGTTAATTCAGCTAAAGGTTTGTCAGTTTTACAGATCTTTTCAAAGACCAAATTTTTAGTTTCATTGATTTTCTCTATTATTTTTCTACTTTCTGTGTTACTGCATTCTGTTATATTATTTTCTTTCATTGACTTGCTTTGAGTTATTTTGTTCTTTTTGTAGCTTAAGGTTGAAGCTTAGATGATCAATTTCAGACTTTTTTTTCTACATAGATGTTAAAAGCTGTAAATTTCCCCCAGGTGTCACTTTATCTGCCACCTATAATTTTGATATGCTGCACTTTCATTTTCTTTATGTCCAAAATATTTTAAAATCCATTGTGATTTCTTCTTTGATTCATTGGGTATTTAGAAGTATGTCGTTTAATTTCCAAATATTTGGGGATTTTCCACGTTTTTTTCTTGCCTTGATTTGTAATTTAATTCTATTGTGGTTGGAGAATATTTCAATTCTTTTAGATATATTGAGATTTATTTCATAGCCTGACTTATCCTGTATGCTAATGAACGTTCCATGTGCACCTGAAAAGAACATGTATTCTTTGTTGGGCGGTGTGTTCTATACATGTGAGTTAGGTAGAGTTGGCTGAGAGTGTTTGTCGAGTTTTCTATATCCTTGCTGACTTTCTGTCTACTTGTTCTATGAATTATTGAGAGTAGGGTACTGCAATTGGTTATTTTTGAACTAACTACTTCTCCTTTAAATTCTGTTTTTGCTTCATGTACTTTGAGGATCTGTTGTGTATACACTTACAGCTGCATTTGCCCCAGTCATCTTTGTTCAGTCTAGTAGAGCTGCTGGCTCTCCCTGCTCACCTGCCACCAGGATTATCACTTCCACTGACAATGCTGCTGGACGTAGGCATTACCTATTGTTCCCAAACTAGTGAGCACACTTTGACTATGACCTGCCCTTTGTGCTGCTGAGCTGGGGTGGGGTGGGCTAAGAATGAAGACAACCCCAGGCAAGAGCACTGCTGATTCCCACTACTATTACCCAAAGTTAGCAGTTTTTCAAGCATAAACACTTCTCAAATTGTTATAAGCCTCTGGCCAATTTCCAGAGTGTCAAAAATTTTGTCCAGATTTATAGATGCTTTTGAGGAGAGGATTTGCTGACCCTCTAATTCATTCATAGCTGGAAGTCCCTCCCAGAAAATTCCTTTTTATATTAAAGGCCAGTTTGGACAAAGGTTGAGCCTTATTTTGGGAGGCTGAGAATTACCCTATTCCAATTTTATTTATAATAATTTCAACACCATACTGATAATGTCTGTAATTTCAACAAATAGTTTTTAGCAATTTCTTCTCTCTCTGAAGACATAAGGTAGGAACAATACTAGGAAACTAAAGTCAATTCATGCAATTAAATGTATGTTATCATGAGAATTTATTCCTTGAGGAAAACACTACTACTTGTAGCAAAACATTAATTATCTCAGCAAAACATTATCTCAGTGGTAACTCACATTCCCATTTTTGTTTTGTCTTGTTTTTGTTGTTTTTATTTTTGTTTAATTTTTATTTTGACATCAAAGTTATGTAATAGCTATCAGTCAAATAGCATAAAATTACAACAATAATCTTAGGTGAATAAAGGAATGACAAAGAAGAGAACAGCTTAAATTTTTCTATGAAATAGTTTGGTCCAATGTAACAATAAAGGCATTTGCAGCCTAAGCTAATAGGCTAACAGCAGTAAACTATACTCTAGACAATTAAGCAGCCTTCTATAAATAAAAATTCTTGGTTACTAAAATATCATTTGGTAGAAGATTGTCTCACAACCTTTAAGAGTTACTGAGGATGCCAAATACAAAGTGAAATTCACCTCCATCTCCAAAAAAAATCATCCTTCAGAAAAAAATGAGTGACTTTATATTCAGATACTTCTAAAATCTGTCATGTTACAGGGTGCTCTCTCAATTATTTTATCTTGAACAACAAAATGTATTTGGGGGAAATATATGAGCCTGAGGTTACCTCAAAGCAGTTTTTAAAGGCTTACAGAGCTCACCTGTACAAATAAACAACAACAACAACAAAAAAGGAGGCAACAAAATTTAACGCAGATAGAGTAATTATTTCTGCACCTATGAGTTCTCAATTGCAAGTGTGGGATATCACTGAAAACAGGTCCTCTAAAGAACACTTTAAAAAGTGATACAGTTATGGTTACAAATATACCTTATGAGACTAAAATAGCCAACAATCCTAATGCTATGCCACTGGGTACTTGTAGCTTGGGGAAGGTATCCAGAGACAGCATCATAGACAGATGCAAAACCCACTATATTCTGAACTGTAGTGAAGACGATTTTGTGATATTGTGATTTATATTAAGAAACACACATTTGCTTTTGTCCTGTTTCTGGTGCAGATCTCCTAAAATGTTCTGGCACAGATCATCCTTGGAATGTCCTAAGCAATAAGAGCAATGGGAGCTATCTTTTGTTATAATATATGGTCTTGGTCCTGGTTTCCTAAAATCGCTCCAGAGCCATAAAGGTAAAAGGAGAGTCTTGTTATTCATAACAAACACTTTTGACCACATCTGAGTTTGTGTCAATGAAGTGACTTTGCGAAGGCCCCTAAGGATGGGGGCTGGTTGCCAATCAGAGGGTTGAAACTTTCAGGCTAACCTCCCATCCCTCCCCTTACCTTTGGGGAGGGGAGAGGGCTGGAGGTTGGAAATCACCAATGGCCAGTGAATCAATCATGCCTATGTAATGAAGCCTCTATAAAAATCCAAAATGATGGGGTTCAGAGAGGTTCTGTTTTGGTGGGCAGAAACACATCCACATGCTGGGAGGGTGGCTCACTCCAGACTCAGAGGTGGAAGACATTCCTGTGCTTAGGACCATTCTGGACTTGACCCTATGTATCTCTTCAGCTGGCTGCTCATTTTTACCCTTTACTATCCTTTGTAATGAACCAGGAATCTAGTAAGTAAACTGTTTTCCCGAGGTCTGTGAGATGCACCAACATTTAATCAAATCCAAGGAGGGCATCATAAGAACTTCCCGTTTATAGCCACCCCCTCTCCTAGGGGTTACCTCATCATCACAATCTCAGCCCTCAAGTATTTAGTTAGTAAAGAAAAAAAAAAGTTGAAAGAATGAGAGTAGTACAGAATGAAGAGGTTTCCAAAGATTAAAAAATAAAATAAAATAAAAAAAGATGATCCACTACTATATCTTTTATTTTGATGTTGGAATCTAAGATTCTAGTCACCCCATGTCTTTGTAGATCTGGGGGAAAGATGTTCAATTTCCTTCCAAAGGAAATAAAGTGGCAACTGTCCTCTGGGCTCTGTCCCAGGTCTTCTTATAAGCAGGGCTTTATAAAACCTTCTCTGTGAGAAGTTTCAGCAAACACACACGCACAGGTGCACACATACACACTCTCACCCAGAAATCATCAATTCCAGTCCTTTCATTCACATATGAGAAAACCGAGACATAGATCATCAGTGGCCCATCTCTGCAGCTTTGGCAGAATTTAAGACAGGATCTCACAGCTCTCAATTTCTATTCCAGGGTTCATTCCAGTCCATCACTCTGCTAAATTGTTCTTTCAGCTCCTCAGTATGAATGACAACAGCTGCCTGCTGCAACCACCTTTACTGTGAACAAGTAAACTCAAGTCGGAATAGATTCAAGCCATTCAGGTTTCCCTGATCAGAACCCCAACATCTGAGAAAGATGACAGGGTTCTAAAGAGGGAGAGCTAGCCAGGCTGGCCAATCAAGGTCTGTGTCTGTCTGACTCTCTTTCTGTATTAATCTCCCTGTACAAAGATGTATTTCTGTTCATTTCAAGATGCAGGGCAAGTGCTATCACCCCCAACCGGTTTGATCTTACAAACTTGACTCAGTTTGTGTACATACAGTCATCCTTCAGTAGCTGTAGGGGATTGGTTCCAGGACCCCCTGCAGATAGCAAAATCCACGGATACACAAGCCCCTTATGTAAAATGGAGCAATACAGTCAGCCTGCCACATCCGTGGGATCTTGTGCCCATAGCCTTTGGGAACCTAGCTTGCACACAAGAAGAGGAGAATCTGTACACAACCAATCGAGAAATGGATACCACCCTTGTTCTACCACTAGCTGTGTAACCCCGGAAAGTACCAAGTGAGAATTTTAGTTCCTTATGTAAAACAGAAATGATTTTATCTAGCTCACGGTGTTATTCTGAGTATCAGATGAGATAATGTATTAGGAAGTACCTAATCCAGTCCTTTTTTTTTTGAGGGTGTTTGCTGTTATTTTCTGTAAAGGCAACCCAAGTTCTTACCACTATAGGAAAAGAAGACAGGGCTAATCTTTGAAGGTTTTCCTGTTCATTTTGTTTTGGTCAAAGAACTACCATGATAAAGAACCTGATCAAAGTTATTTACTGTAAAACTGAATGCTATACTTATAGACCTGAAGTTGCTCACTGGATTATACAAATATGAGTATAAAGAATTAAAAATATGCGCCTTCCGGTGTTTTTACACGGCAAAATTTTCTGTGTGCTCTTTTTTAGAAAGGGTATTTCCATTCGTTATAAACTCATGCTCCAAATTATGTGATAATTTAGATCAAGGTCATTACCAACCCAGATGACCAAACCTGAAAAATATTCTCATGTCAGAGACCTTGAAGAAAGAACGCTCCAGTGGGATTAAAATGCCTTGCAAAGAATTACAACATGAATAGCTCAAGAAATCTTAATTTGTAAAAGGTCACAGAGTTACAGAAAACATCGCTCATTTCAACTAATTAAATGAAATTTTAGTTCAACAGCACCTTTAAATATTGGCATTGCAGCTGCGAGTGGATTTAAATAGCATTTACGCAGATATAATTAGCACAATTAAACATGGGTAGAAGTGGAAACACTATCCTTAATTATATTGATATAATCAGTTTTATTAATGCTTTATAGCAACAAAAGTGATATTTGACAGTAGCACACAATTCATGAGTGAACCTAATATTAAGCATTTTAGCATATTAAAGAATCTAAAGCTAGGTACTTGGGGAAAGAAAAAAGTCAAAGAGCATTCCTACCTGTGACGATACCATAGTTGGGAGGCTCAAGAATTACTCCATAAAACTGGATGATGTTTCTGTGACTGAGGACACTGAGTATTTCTGCCTGTACAAAAATCGAACACAAAAGTGCATAATATTTCACATTTACAAAAGCCTCAGAAAATAGGTTTCCTATTCAATTTTCTTTATATATGTTTACAAAGATGTGTATGTGCTCAATATGTAAGTGATGCTGATAAAACTTTGTCTTTGGTAGCATTCTTGACAGTTTAAGAATTTATATTGAAGCTTTCTGAAAATGTTTAAAAAGAGATGGTGTTGAAGTGGCAACAGAAGCGGTGCTCGCCAGCAGGTTGGCCTGTCTGATGGTGGAGGGGGATGACTAAAGAGGGGAGATAACCATATTTACTTACGGTAAAAGCCCTCATCCTAAAAGTCAAATACATTTTTCCTGCATAATGCCTCTTCCGGGAGACTGCAGCAAGACTGAACTTCTATCGGTTGGATGAATAGTCATTACAAAATTAAGGGAGGGCTTCTTAACTGCTACAGAATAGATTCAAGTAATACCCACTTGTATTATCTATCTAATCACTCATTTAAAATATATTATTGCTCTCCTACTGTAGGCAAGGTACTATAAAGGATAGACAGGTGGATCCTTGACCTTCACTGGTGATTTTTTTTTCAGTAACCATTCTTTAACTAATAATACAGATATTATTCTTTTGATAATAATATTGGATACACACACATACAGAGAGAAGAAAAAGATATGAAAGAAAGGATCAAATAAAAAAAGTAGTCCCCTTTATCTGTGGTTTCCCTTTCTGTTTTCAGTTACCTGCTGTCAACCTTCATCCAAAAATATTAAATGATAAATTCTATAAGTAAATAATTCATAGTTTTTTAATATGAGTATATTGCTTTATTCACTATTTGTTGAGGTCTCATATTAAGGACACCAACTAAGCCAAAAATTTGAAGGTAAATAAAAGCTTTCAAAGCAAATATAACAGCATGGCATAAATCTATACAACTACAGATCTCTTTCCCCTCGAGTATTTGAAAAACTATAAACAAGTTGTCTTGATTCCCCACTTCAGTGGTGACTGGATAGGGAAGCCATACTTTACACTTTATTAATGTATTAAATACTAGAAAACTGTACTGCAGAGCACCATGGTAAAAAAAATTAATTGTTTATTAAACTTAATTTTTTTAATTAAAAAAATTATGGATACTGTAGTGTACATCTGCTACTGGCTATATAAGGACATTCTCCAGATTACCAAATCACATGTAGTCACTAAAATTTTATTACTTTTGTGGAGATAAAATATGGTTAATCAAATTATAAACAATTGGGTACAAAATCATGTAAGTGAAATAAAGAAACTGTTCAATATTTTTAAATGAAAGGCATGTATTGGCAGTAAGTAAACAGGGGATTTGTTAAGTCCCCCATCCCAGAGAGGGCATGATCAAGAAGAATGGCAGCATTGAACAAAGATGGAGACACCTTGGTCAGAAAGAAGACACTCTCTGGGAATCTGCACACTGAATTTGTGCTATTCCTTAAACATTTGCTTTCATAGGAAGAGTTAAATTTTCCTTAAAAACACTGTGAAACTTGTTTTGAAGGTGGTGTGGCTAGACTGAAAATCGAAGTTCGAGGGCTGACATAGGATCAATATGGGAACACGAGAAAGGAACACATCAGTGACTGGATGAGACATTTATCAAGGTGGACTGGACAGCTTTTTCTTTTAGTGACAAAGGTGAAACGACTCCTTGACATTCACTGAGTGTCCACCATGTGTAGAGGTTCTGTATTCACCAAAGGACCTTCTCATAGCTTATTCTTCCAAGTAGAAAGAAAATGCATTAACTGGGTAATACAATTTTTCATTCAGATGGCAATTCTATTTCTCATTAAGTAATAATAAACTTTGTTGTAAAAATAGAGTTCATATGAAGCTTGGAAATCATAAGCCCTCTATTTTTATGCAGCAGATCAACTCGTTGTGAGTAAAGCACAAGAGTTCAACGTGAGGAAAGCTTTAATGGTGGGACCAATGTTGGTCAAAATAGAGGAGTGCTATCCTTTGGCATGTTTCAGTATGTTCTTTGGGGTACCTAAATCCTGTGACCATTAAAAATGTTTGTATCAACAAAGAAAAAATACAAGAATATTCTGAATCCTTGGATGACCATTTTATATTCAGCACGACATGGGATTTTCACTGTTCCAGCTAATTTTCATGTTGATATTTAAGACATTGCCAAATGACACGTTGGAGAGACAGAATTGATCTTTTCAAGCATCGGTAAACGTGTCTAACAGCTCTTGAGTATGCATATGCTAATAACAAAATAACAACTGTTATCTTGTGTCCCTTTGCTGTGCTCATAGTTTAATTCTTTACAGTTACGAAAAACTCTTGCAGTATAATTTGCAAGTAAAAGACATTTTTATGGAATAAGACTTTGGATTCCAATTTAATAAATTAAGAATTTGATTTAACATCATGAAAACAACACATTACTTTAGAGTGCTATATTAGTGTCATGGAAATGGGCTAACAACAAACAGAGGCAGATTAAATAAGTGGCATTTGCAATAAATGAAGGTCAAGTGATACTAGGATGTTAGCAATTCAAACACACTCCAACAGAAAGACCTGGGATTAACTGAATTACGCAAACTTGTGCTGTAGTGGCCAGTATCTGACAGCAAGAGGATGGATTATGTAGATTTGCCTTTATAGGACCCCTGCTTGTCAACAGTTCATTAATGAAAACTATTGTAGTCAATAGGCAGCAAATAATTTTTCCTTAAATTGTTGATTTCCCATTGTTTTCCAGATTTAAATTCCGGGATACTTTAGCAAATGGACTGCCCATCAAAATAATGGATTGGGGGGAGGCTATAGCTCAAGTGGTAGAGTGCATGTTTAGCATGCACAGGGTCATGGGTTCAATCCCCAGTAATCCCTCCAAAAATAAATAAACAAACCTAATAAAAAAAAATGGATTAATGATTTTAAAAAGTTCACTGTTAAAAAGGAAACATAATAATGATGAAGGCTAAAATAATGGTCCACTGTGGCCAAAAATGTAAATGTATCTTTTTACACTACTAAAACCAACAAAAAATTTATTTTTACTACATATAATTTGCTGAAGATTATTTACTCTTATATTAATTTTATAGTTGCATTTGTATTTATCTGAAAAATTGACGTTGATTTTATGAACTATAAGCAATAAAAAATTAATTCTTAGTTTTATGCTTATGTATACTTAAGTTACATTGAAATGATAATTTTAGTCAATATTGGAAATCTCAATGATATATTTTTCTATACAAAGAATTTACATTTCTCAGTTTGCAAGATGGTATTTTTGGGGGGACTCTAGAGCCTCTAACAGATACTTGTATGCCAATATTCATTAGTAGCATTATTAACAACAGCCAAAAGGCAGAAACAACCCAAGCGTTCATCATTTTGAACAGATAAATAAAATGGAATATTGTTCATTATTCAGAGGAATTAAGTTCTGATACTTGCTACAATATGAATGAACCTTGAAAACATTATGCTTAGTGAATACACCAGACACAAAAGGACAAATACTGTATGATTCCACTTATATGACGTATCTTGAAATGGCAAATTCAGAGATTAGAAAGAATGCAGATTAGACGTTGCCAGGGGCTGGAAGAAGAAGGAATGGGGAATTACTGCTTAATGTGTAGAGTTCCTGTTTGGAGTAACGAAAAAATTTGGAACTAGACAGTGGTGATGGTTGGTTACAGCACTGTGAATATAATTATTGCCACTGAACTGTATAGTTAAAATGACAGATTTTATGCTATATATATTTTACCACAATAAACATTAAGTATGTTTAAAAAAATGTTACTCTAAACTTTTACAGAGATGAATGGTCATAGTCTGTTTAATAATCACCCCAAAGTTACACAACCCAACATCTAAATATCCTTGGGATAAGTAGGTAGTTTTCCAAGATGAGGACCTGAGGACTGAAGGAAAGACTGGGACAGACTACAGCAATTTTAACTGAGGCTCAAAGACTCTCCATAAAAATAACAAATCCCAACATGGCTGAGAAGTGGAGTAACCACAGGTCTTTTCATAAAAATGTCTAATAGCAATGTCCTTATCAGAGCACAAAAATGTCTACACAGACACTGTGCAGTAAGATACGTGACTGCTCCCACTGTTCCAGCTGGGGCTGCTGTCTTCCTTCCTCCCTCCCTCCTTTCCCTCCTTCCTTCTTCCCAGGAAAACCTGTAGGGGTTTGGGGAGGAGGTGGGCATTCTGTTAGTTTTATTTTACCTGGCATTTCTATTCATTTATGTGAGAAGATGAGCCATGAGCTCAGTTGGTCGTGTTTCCGGAAGTCGACCAGCACACGGTTCCAAATGGCTCATCCGATCAGAGAGAAAAGGAGACACTAAATATCATAATTTAATCAAATTTAGTAAGTATCATAATTCAACCTAATCCCAAATTTTAATTTGTCACTTTAATTTTGGAGAGCTGTCAGAGAATCCTTAAAGATTCTGTGGGGTTTTTTTTCTTTTCATTGAAGCATAGCTGATTTACAATATTGTGTTAGTTTCAGGTGTACAACAAAGTGATTCAGTTATATGTATGTTTTTTCAGATTATTTTCCATTATAGATTATTAAATGTTGAATATAGTTCCCTTGGCTATCCAGTAAATCCTTGCTGCTGGTCTAATTTATCCATAATAGTTTGTATTTATTAATCCTATACTCCTAATATATCCCTTCCCCATCTTGCCTCTTTGATAACCATAAATTTGTTTTCTATGTCTGCGGGTCTGTCTCTATTTTGTATATAGATTCACTTGTATTATATTTTAGATACCACATGTAAGTGATATCGTGTAATATTTGTCTTTGTCTCTCTTACTTCATTTAGTATATTCTCCAGGTACATCCATGTTGCTGCAACTGGCAATATTTCATTCCTTTTTTATGGTTAATATTCCACAGTATATTTATGTCACAACTTCTCAAGCCAATAGTCTGTTGATGGACACTTGG